ATATGAAATAATAAAATATAAATTATATCTGTATTCAGGCACTGACGAAGATAATCTGCCACGGTAGATCCGATACACCACTCCTTTCGGCAAGTAGTCCTGAAGGTGATAGGACGTTGGTTGGAGACTCTACTGCTGAAAATTCTATTAAAATCTGTTGCGTAATTTAAAAGATAAAAGCGAATAGACTGCGGCATCGACTTTGTTTTATATTATGTAAAGATTTTTGCTGTTATCGTAGCTGGTGTTAACAACGAAAGGAGAGGTGTGGTGTTGGGGCGCGAGTCCGCAGCAAGTCCGCGCGACGCATGCGCGTCAGTCTGCGGGCTTGGCGGCCGGACACTCCCCGCCCGCCGAGCCCGCGCCGCCCGTCATCCCCGTCCCCCCGTACGAGCCGCACTTGTTACCGCAACTCGTCGACACGCACAACGTACGCGGACAGGTCGTAAGGGTGAGTTTGCATGTCCTCACACTCCCTCCGAGAGGCACAATATAATAATAAGTTTATTGTGCAAAAATAGTTACAAAAAGTACTTAACTAAGGTTGTATACCCTAATATAATTGTATGTTCCTTACCACAATTATTGAAAAAAAATCCTTTGATGATCATTCTTAAAGTTGCCGTTATTTTTATTTGATTGTGTAAATGTACTATGTTACTTGTAAAATTATACGAAAATCATTTTGTAGTTGGCAGCAGGCTGGCATCATTCATGCATAGTCGATAACTACGGCACTATATATTCTTGGGGCTTAAACTTCGATGGACAATTAGGTAAGCATAATTTATTAAGAATTAATCGTTGAAAGATGCAAATTTGGTTTTTAGTTAGCATTCACAAGTCAAGTGTTTACATTATTGATAAATAGTATACTGTTAACGTAATTTTTATATTTTTTTATATTTTGTGTGTTATTATTCATATATCTGTGTGTGTTTTTCTTCATTAATAACCTTCAACTGGCCTTTTATAAGTACTAAAGAAATATGAATGTACAAAATTATCAGGACGAAAGGATTATCAGAGATCTCTTTATTTTTTAATCTGTGTATTATATTATTTTTAAGGGAGTGGTGATAGAAAACAAGTGGTGATCCCTACAGAAATAAAAATCCGCTCAGAAACTGAGGCAACTGAAAAAACTGATATTGCCAAAACACCAGAAATTGAAAATCCGAATGTAACCACTCAAGTGTTAGTCGCTTGCGGTGGAGACTTCACGATATTTGTGGATGATGACGGAAAAATTTATGCATGTGGCAATGCTCACTTACAGGTTGGTACTCATCATTATTATTATGCTATACAATTTCTTCTCTTACCCAATATTAATTTCCTTTGCTATTGTTACACATTTGTGCAGTGAACTGCTAATTAATATAATTTCTTATCGCAGTTACGGAAATTTAATTTTGTTTTATTAGTGGGCAAATAATGTTTTTAAAGTGGCTTTTACTGTTTCAACATTGTACCAATTTAATTCGCTGTATTATATGCCTAGAATGTATATGCTTGGCTTCGCTTTAAATTACGCAATTGTATTTATTTAAACTTTATTGTATAAAGTAAAAGACTTATCTTGCTTTTGTTTCCGTCGCTATAGAAACATAATATTTTTTATTTACGGCAAATCTTACCGTATGCCAACAAAGTTATTTGTAAATTTTAATTTAAGCCATACATAAAGTTTGGAATTCATTTCTTGTGCAGACGATATTAGATATATCTGACTTCTGTTTGTTATTTGTAACAGAGCAACGGCGAGAAAGATAAAGAGACCAATCGCGTTTTTATGATGAAGACTACTAAACGTGTAATTAAAATACCAACGAACCGATTGAGCAATAAGTTCCTGTTTCAACCCATAGATAGATTAGATATCATGTTCCCCTTTGAACTGGAAGATAAAAAACGTGATAATATTGGTCCTCGAATGAATCCATTGAATTCCTTGGAGGACTTCGATAAAACATCATGGGCTGACGATCTTATTCTGTTACTAAAACCATGGATCAATCAAGACAGTTTATGCTCAAATTTAAATGTCTCAGCTAAATTGGCCTACTATAACCAACTGTATTCGGATTGCCTTAAATTATTTTTGGATAATTTAAAATGTGCACCACAAGAAAATCGAATTTATGTCACTCACACAGAACTAAAAGGTGACATTTTAGATAAAGAGAGAAAATATCCACTGAAGGATGAACTTAAAATGGCCATTCTAAGTACAATGCTAAAACGTATTAAAGAAATTTCATTGACAATTCTCAATGAAAAAGAATGTCCAGAAATTGACCCCTCAACTTACATACATTTGCATTGCTGCTGTGATGAACTTCTGTACTTTCCAAATGATGGAATATCGAAATGTAACCCAAATATACCTCAAGATGATATATCTCCTAAAGCGGCCGAGATTATTGACAAGTGTATCAGTTTATTTCCTGTTGATACAAATCTTTGGGAGGTTTGCTTTCGCCTTTCAAAAGATTTTTATATTCAAAATAATCTGTGTGTTGCGGAACTCGAAACAGTGTTGCGTAAGTATATGGAAACGAACCCAACAACTATGGCGGCAGCTGTAATGTTTTCAAAAGATAGCGTACAGTACAGCCAGATATTGACGCCTAAGTTCTATTTGAACATGTGCAACAAAGTATTGGATACATGGGGGTGAATATTATGTTAAGACATACTAAGGGTCGTTGCAAAGATGTATGGTTGGTTGTGTTGAAACACAGTAGGTATTGGTTACATTACGAATATTATGTATCAATTGATACAATATAAGAATTGATCAGACCTGAATAGATTGCCAGATATACTATCCGTTTAGTGGTGGAATAGGCAGAGAGAATGTATCAGTTAAGGGCAAAATGAAAATCATAACAATTATTCATATAATTAGGTTAGTTTTTCATGATCATTTATTCACTTAGGGTTCTAGACTAATAAACAATCTTGATCGCTGTTAAGAAATATTTTGTTATTTTACTATAATTGTTATACTCTTACTATAACTGTCCTGAATCTGTCTATTTGGCTATTATTAGAGCAAGACTGTATAACGTCGTTTGTATATTTCTTTTTGCAATTAGCAGGTTGTTTAACAAACTGTATAGGTAGATTTTCCTCATAAATGAGTAAGTGTTAAAATTACAGGGTACCTAGACATATATTTATAGTGAATAGCTAAGTCGGTGATTTCGTACCCGAAATATTCAGATAAACAATATAATTTGTAGCTTTTATGTTTGTAAACTGATTGAAATAAAATAAACTAAATTTGAAGTGAAACTTATTACCTTACCATAAAACATTAGTGAAACCAGCACCTAAATCAGTTAAATCGTTTCTGAAATTTACGCGCATAAACGGTATCAAACAATAACGTTAAAATCTTACAATTTACTTTTTGGGATTTATAACATAAATGGGTTCTTTATTTAGTTTCCTTTCTTATATTTATTTCTCATGTACAGACAGCGATCAATTACATATTTAATATAACTATAGAATATTGTACCAGGTACTCACCTGTCGATTAGTATTATTGGATTGTGCTATACCAAGTGTTTTTTTTTAGTCTAGTGCCATAATATGTCTGTAACAGTTTGAAGTATCTATCTGTTAGATAGATTAGGCTTAATTAATCAAATTTAACAAAACATTCAGCAAGAATGTTAAGCTATTAGATCTGTATAAATCTTCTTTATATATTATAATAACATATATGTATATCTTGTACTGAGATAATGTTTTGTACTCGGATTCCGATTCATTACGAAAAAAGTACTTACTTTTTGGTTATTAATAAACGTAAAAAAATACACCTTTATTTGTGTGATTATAAAGTTCGGATAACAAGCTGTATAGAGTTGAATCTATTCTTTCTGAATTGTTAACCTTAAAAAATATTATAATTGTTATACTAAGTTTATTTAAGCAAAGATCATTTCTGTTGTGTTATATTCAGAAGGTTAGTTATTTTTTTAATTTTATATCACTGTTACAGGACTATGTTGTGTTTAGTTATTTTTATATCGATTTTTAGAATAAGTATTTATGGTCACAGCATATTTTAGTTTATATTATTCGAATTTGCATGTTTATATATTGATAGCTTGATTTTTAAAACGTATTTTAAGTAACGATGGATAAATAAGCAAACTTAGTGGGATTTAAACCTTAAACCACCATATCTTATGGGAACTACTGTCTTAACTATTTTGTTATTGTAAATTTACTCTGTAATTTCCGTAGAAGATCAAACCAATTTCAAGAGAAGAATTATAAAAAAATGACACTATTTTAGTAATGTGAAGATTGGTGCAGCTTTTTTGGAACAATATTAGTAATATTTAGTCGTAGTGATTACGAGACTTATATAGAAATTAACGTTTATTTATTCATAGATTCAGAATCCCCTGGCGTCTGCGGACCATAGGTTAAGAAACAACGGTCTATACAATAGTTTAGGCCAGATTAACTTATGACCATGTTTGTCTGGCCATGCCGTAAAAATTGTTTTTTTTTTTTTTGTTAATATATGTAGCCTCATTAGCATTATCAGAAGATTACTATGAACAACTGCTGCATATTACGCGTATTATAACAGTAAGTTTCAAATAAATGTAACACTAAGTACGTTTTCTATATTATTTCGAGAAAAGTAACATCTGCAAAAATAATTTTTCCAACGTTATTTGAAATAAAGATTAGTTTTATACATATGCAAGTATGTAATGTGATAGTAAAAGTTTTTCTCAAGTTGTATTTCTTTATCTAGTCGCTATTGTGAAGCTTTTTTGAATTTAATACTATACTAATTCAATAAGTGTTTTTCATTTATACTAACAACTGTATTAATATGACTATTCTTAAGTCATTTATGCTCATATAACAAATAAAACCAAGTACGTAGTAGACAACTGTATTTTTGTAAACCTATTTACAAAAAAAAAATACATCCTTGTCCACAACATTTATATCAGGTAAATGTTATATCAAGGACGTTGTTCTCAACATAACGGAATGAAATTATATAGTACACAAAATAACATTTCAGAAATAAATATTTTAAAAACAAATATCACATAATCAGTTGTGTCTGATTACAATAAATAAAAAGATTTCGCATAGAACACATTCAAAATAAACTTTTAAGATGAGTGATTTACAAAAGGCGTAATACGACGACATAAATTACTTTAATATCCAAAACTGTTCAACTCAGATTCATACAAGATTCCTTAAGGCAGACCAACTTAATTAGAATACATTACTAACACGACTCGGATGTTGTGAGTTAACATTTATTATTTGTACAATTACATCTAAAATTAGAAGTTGATCGGTTTTCCAGCATACGCGGCCAAGTTTGCCTCGCGCAGGGCTTCAGCACATGTCTGAAAACAGTTAGGTACAATCAGAATACAGTTTTAGTGATGGCAATGACTTCGTGATTATTCGTCAAGGACGTAACGAGGTCGCAATAGTGTTCATTCGCGAACATTGTGTTGTAAAAAAGGAACACTAAATACTCCAAGGTCAAAGCCCAAAAGGTCCCAGAAGCAAATCAAATAAACAATAATACATTTACTCGTTTGACAGTTTTAGTGTAATGAACAATGTTTACGAAAGATTATATTTCCCCTTTCAGTCATATAAAGGAAACATTAATTATCCACCCTTTGTAACTTGTTTAATATTGTTCCATAAAATCTTGATCTATTGTTAAGTTTTTTTGTTAGATTAGATTACTAGATTTGTTAGATAGATTGGTATTACATTTTTTTTATACTTATGCAACTGTCCAAGTGAATACAAAGCTACGGGATATACTAACGGGATGTGCGTGGCATACTCTTGCTACATCTGCAGCAGCCCCATATTCTTGGGCTAGTACAGCCTCGTTGACTAATTCGCCGGCGCCCTGCAAACACCAAACAAATGGGAAATAAGTTATCACTGTCGTGTAATTTCTCATAGTAAATAAACTAAAAATAATTTTCTTGCCTATAACCTCCTTAGTTTATATATGTATACCATAGCCAATATCTATTGCTTTTACTATACAGTCTCCAAAATGATTTATTTATGTAATTAGAATAGCAATATGTAAGGGTCCAACTGATTTAAAGTAGAAATTGTTGCGTACGTAAGTACACAAATAATAGTGCTATTATTTGTGTTGTTATTCCTAAGAATTAAGTTATGCCTGCATACCTTCTTAATTTGGGGTACGGTTATTACCCCCAAATTACGATTAGGCCATGATGGTCTCAATAACATAATTTCACATACATATTATTCATTGTAATAAAAATTAAATTTTTACAATAGTACTCACGGGTCCAATAATGTGTGTTCCTAAAATGACGTCTGTAGACTTGTCGGATAACACTTTTACAAAACCATCTGTTTCCCCATTGGTCTTTGCTCTCGAGTTGGCTAGGAATGGGAATTTGCCTACTTTGTATGCTTTACCCTGAAAAACAAGAAGTCATAATAAATATTACAGAAATTAAAACTTGTGTATTAAGTTTTTGTTTATTAGTTTATTATGTATTAAGTATATTATTGATAATTATATAACTTGCCTCCTTCTTTAGATCCTCCTCACTTTTTCCGACCCAGCCGACTTCAGGTGATGTGTAAATCACAGATGGAATAGCATCATAGTTGAAATGAACTGGCAAGCCCTGTACAGAAAACAAATGAGTAAATATATGTTTTCAAAATATTTAGTCTATTGTAAAATAAAACACCAAATAATTTACCTTGATACCCTCAACACAGACAATGCCTTCATCTTCAGCCTTATGGGCCAACATGGGACCATGTATTACATCGCCAATTGCATATATTCTGAAAATATAACATATGATAAAAAAACACATTCACTCAACAATACATAAATTTAAGATAAAAATAAATAAATAATTCAAAAAGTTGGTTCAAATAGCATCACAAAATGTAACATAACTTACATAAGCATATAAAAGAATTACATAAATTCTATTTCTCTACTAAGGTTATAAAGGCAAATGTTTATTTAATTTTACGTAAATGAAATTTGGTACACAGATCCAAATTTAGGTCACCAAAGAGTACAATATGTGAACCCATGGGGAGTGCCATTTAAAACACTTTATTTTAAAGTCGGCTATTAAAATGAATGACAGAATATTTACCCAGGTACGGTAGTCTGGAACTTGTTATTGACAGGTACGCGGCCGCGATCATCCAGAGCGATGCCAACTTTATCCAGACCGAGATCTTTAGTGTATGGACGGCGTCCAATAGAAATGAGAACCACATCGCATTCCAGCTGGAAATATATAAATACATATGTTTAATTATTTTGATTAATTTGCGGCTATTGACAAGGAATACACAAACAAAAAATGCATAGTTAGTCAAAAATAACTATACTTTGCATAATAACCACTGATCTAATAAGATTAATAAATAAGCATTATAATTGAATGAGTGGTACAAATTGAAAGGTCTGCCTTTGAAAACTTAGCAGACAATATAAATATTAACTTACCGTTTCCTTACTGCCGCCCTTTGCTGCCTCTACGTCAACTTTGACAGTGCTTCCCTCTTTCTTGACACCCATCACTTTAGTACCCAGTTTGAATTTCATGCCTTGTTTAGTAAGAATTTTTTGCAGTGTCTTTCCTACTTCGCCGTCGATACCCACACCTGAGAAATTAAAGGCAAAAGGCAAGGTGTATAAAACAGCAGTTAGACTAGTTCTACTATACGGTAGTGAAACGTGGGCTATGTAAGCAAGTACATGAGCAAAAATTACACACTACTGAAATGCGTATGCTTCGTTGGGCAGGTGGACTTACGCTTAGAGATAAAGTCCCAAGACGAGCATGTTCATGCAGCTTCAGAGTGATACCTATTACCGAAGAAGCTTAAAGAATGTAGACTAAGGTGGTATGGATATATTCAGCATAAACCTGAAAACCACATTGTGAGAAAGTCCCTTTCCATGGCTACAACAAAAAGAGGATGAGGCAGGCCAACAATTACCTGGTTGACTAATATCCATAGGGACATGAAGGAGCTGGGCCTGTCAAAAGATGATGCTTACCAGCGAAATGTATGGCGCCCCAGGATTAGAAAAGCCGACCGACCGAACGGGAAGAGGCGAGGATGAAGAAGAAAGTATATAGACTGTTGATTTTATTATTATATTCATAAAATATACATAATAAAATTATTATTCATTCATTATGAGTCCATGTAAATTTTGTATCTGGGGAGGGGGCGGGTACTTGGCCTTTTCTAAACATTGTTACAATACATTCTTAACTGACTTGCTTACTTCCCCAACACAGCAGCAGGCCTGAAGCAAACCTGACCTCACTTGCCTCCAGCTTCCCCTGGGTCTGAAGCTGGCAAAGCTCATGCCTAATAATATGGTAAATGTGGTAGTTTGTACAACTATTTGCTAACTAAAGGTACTTCGCCTACTATGTACCAGCAACAAAATCAATAAACAATATAAAATCTTAATGAATGAAGTATCTTTATCTCATTGCTGATTCAGAAGAACTGATACAAATCAGTTATATGCTAGTCTTTGTTATCTAATCATTGACAGATTGACTATAGTGTCACGAAAATATAACTTATAAAGCATATATCTAGAAGTCTTTCTAAATACTGTTGCCATTTGTCGCCAATGTATAAATTATGGATTTTTTAAATAAGTTCTTGTATAATAAAAATTACCCATAGTATTTATTTAATACAAGAAACCATAGAGTGTGATGACAAATGGATATCAGAAAAGAGTATCTATTAAAATTAGGATGGTGGCATGTCCTTAATGCAACAAAATCAAATTTTACACTTTGAACCAAAACACAACAATACATGCCTTATGAAGTAATAAATAGCTAAGATTGTTGTGTATGGAGTATATCATCCCGAGTTCCTTATAATGTAAATTAAATAAACTTAAATAAGTACACACTTGTTTTATTTTTAAAACTCATGTTTATTTTTGCACTAACGATTAATAAATTGGGCTGTGCCTTTCAACATTGATTTACTAAAAATTAAGCATAATTCAAAAATGTTACCCTTTGTTTATAGTTTATGAAATGTGGAATATATGAGAAAATTAGTCTGATTTAACATTATTTTCTTTGAAAACTATACATCTACATAGAATCAATAAAAATATATTCTGTCAACGAACCGTAACACCAGGGAAGGGTGTAACTTCAGAGCCAGTTGCAATAAGAATGTTCTTTGTGTTCACAGTCTCAACACCCTGTTCACCTTTGACTTCTACCTTGTTTGGGGCAACTATGGATCCTACTCCACGTACAAGGTTCACCTAAAATAAAATTATTACAAACCAATTTGACTACATGTCTTTAAAGATAAACGGCTACATGCAATGTTTCTTCGATTTCTTTGTGGATAGCTCATTTAATGAACTGTACTGTATAGACCAATTAAGTTAAAGTATTCAGTTATTAAGTCTAGGGTATACTTTATCACACTGTCTTATTCTTATTAACTACAGTTGTAGCACAGATAACATAATATTACATACAGATACCCCATCCCATACAAGAAAATGGTTCCTTCCTAACTCGGGCTATTCTTCGGGCTATTTTATTTCCCCACCGTAGCCGTTAGATGTCGCTAGATCTGAAGCAGTTCGGATTACTAGTGGGTGCTTAGTAACAAAGCATGAAAATAGATGGCAGTCAATTCAGTCTACATGACATCTGTTTTGCAAAGATATGTATATAATAGATATGTAGGTAACTGTATCGTGTACCTCATTAGGGACGATTCAAGATTCAATGTAAATGTGTAGGTATAATATCGTTAGCCGACACTCTGCAGATATGGCTTATGTGCCAATGTATGTACCTATTATGTTATGGTTTATTTTACATTCCATGCCTATTTTTTTGATATGTTGTAACGCGTCTGCGCTATACGTATAGCCTGATTTTGATACGTTTATATTCGTACGTATCAAAATCGGGCTATACGATTTTTTATTTCAATCGTTATATGTATGAGACTGATTTTAGCTACAATTAATTTACTGGTATATACCTCATGTATTCTACGATGTACCCCTCTTTTACCTAATGAGAATTCCGCTATATCTTATATATAAATTTTGTATCACAGTGTTAGTTGCCATATTTCTCCCACATTTTGATGAAATTTGATATGTATACTTGCCAGGTCTGAGGTAGGGTTGTTATCTATTTTTATACCCCTAAGTCATAGGGGTGGCCTACCCCGAAAAAATATTTTTTTGTATTATGGACAATTTTTTATTTATTTATAATGTTACATTGAAAATACATACACGCCTAAATTTTCACCCGTCTTTCACCAACCCCTATTTTTAATAGCGATATTCTTACAAATATTATAAATGCTAAAGTAACTCAGTCTGTCTGTTTGTCTCGCTTTCACGCCAAAACTACTGAACTGATTTAATTGAAATTTGGTAGACAGATAATGTAGACCCTGAGAAAGGCTACTTTTTAATGCGAAAAAGTATTGAAAGGGGAAATGAAAGGCTATATGAGGATATCGTAATTTTTAAAGTCAGATCTTGTAAGATTAAGTGAACAGGGTTGGTCTAGGTTTTTCATTATTAGAAATGTGTAATGGGGTAACACGTTATTTAGTGCGAAATTGTGTATATTACAATAAAATTTAACGAGAAAATATTATAATGATGTCACTGGGACACTCATTGCCTTACTACTATATCGTCCGTTAGTCGCGAACTTTCTGGAAACACGAGAGGCGCGCTCCTATTGGTTAGTAGATGAGGTAGACGAGTCTCACGGCGCCCCAGCGTAAGTACTTACTATACATACGTAGTATACATATGGGTGTTACAAATGTTTTTATTACGAGTAATATTACTCTGTTATCTAAGCAAGTAATGTGTGCTTATTTTGAACTTGATAACATTCTGAATTACTCGTATATCTTTCAATATCTTTAGCGGTATAAACCAGGTTATGTACTACTACTAGTATTGTTAGTGAGGGATAAAGTTGATGAACAAAAATAAAACAATATTCGTATTAAAAATATATTCATCTAATATTTTTGGCATTATTTTTAAGTTTCTTCCAAATACAAGGGGTCTGACATGGGGTGTTATGTACCTACATTAAAAGATACTTTTTGAAATGTATGAAAGAAATGTATGTACCTACATTAAAATATAATTTTTGAAATGTATGAAAGAAATGTATGTACCTACATAAAAAGTTCATTTTTGAAATGTATGAAATGTATGAAAGAAATGTACGTACCTACATTAGAAGATAATTTTTGACATGTATGAAATGTATGTACCTACATAAAAAGTTTATTTTTGAAATGTATGAAATGTATGAAAGAAATGTATGTACCTACATTAAAAGATAATTTTTGACATGTATGAAAGAAATGTGTGTACCTACATTAAAAGATAATTTTTGACATGTATGAAATGTATGAAAGAAATGTAGTACCTACATTAAAATATAATTTTTTAAATGTATGAAAGTAATATATGTACCTACATTAAAAGATAATTTTTGACATGTATGAAATGTATGTACCTACATTAAAATATAATTTTTGAAATGTATGAGATGTATGAAAGAAATGTATGTACCTACAAGTTCATTTTTGAAATGTATGAAATGTATGAAAGAAATGTATGTATGTACCTACATTAGAAGATAATTTTTGACATGTATGAAATGTATGTACCTACATTAAAATATAATTTTTTAAATGTATGAGATGTATGAAAGAAATGTATGTACCCACAAGTTCATTTTTGAAATGTATGAAATGTATGAAAGAAATGTATGTATGTACCTACATTAGAAGATAATTTTTGACATGTATGAAATGTATGTACCTACATTAAAATATAATTTTTTAAATGTATGAGATGTATGAAAGAAATGTATGTACCTACATAAAAAGTTCATTTTTGAAATGTATGAAAGAAATGTATGTACCTACATTAAAAGATAATTTTTGACATGTATGAAATGTATGAAAGAAATGTGTGTACCTACATTAAAAGATAATTTTTGACATGTATGAAATGTATGTACCTACATTAAAATATAATTTTTGAAATGTATGCACCGTACAATAACAATACACGTTAAACATCATACCACAGAGTCATACGCAAGTTAAAAACAAACTGCTATGATATATTAATGAGAAAGGAAAATCAACTTTATGGTATTCGAGTTAGGGTCGATTTCTCTTTTTTTAAATACTATTTTAATCTTACCAGTTGCCAGTATTCGAAGACAGCTACGATTCGTACTCGATATTTTAAATTATTATGTAATCGATTATTCAGTACAAATGTAAATAACCAACGACACTAATAATGTATGTACTACTATATTTCGTTCTTTGAAACGGAACACTTTCAAAGAACGAAATATATAATACATAATAATGAAAATTTACTGTTCACAACGACTCATTAAAAGCATCATCGAATAATGCGCTGTAATAAAATCCTGTTATCGATTATTCAAAAAAATCGATAATACATGTATTTATTTTTAATATGACAACACTTCATACATAAGTATTATTGGAAATAGTATTACTTGCTTGTTTGGCTATTTATAATTTACTTAAAAAATTTTTATATGTTTAATTTACAATAATAATATATTAAGTGCTTATTATTGGAAAATATAAAAAAGACATTTAATTAGGCCGATACAAATGACGACAATGCCATCTATGAAAGCATTTTGAAAACATTGAGCCCCATATTAGCACTGATTAAAGTGTAATTAAGTACTGGAAAATAACAAAATGAGTAAATATATGAAAATTACTTTTCTAAACGCATTATTTCATTTTAACATGTATATATAACTTTTTAAAAATTGATTAAACATTTTTGAAAACACAGTTTTGTTTTTTAAAACGTTTGCAAAACTATGAAGAATTCCATCGATACCAATCACGCCATCTATATGCAACTTTTAGCAATAATAATGGCTACTTCCTCATTGAGTGCCACTGGTTGTAGCAAATAGCAAGTGGCAGTGGTATAATAATAAATTGATTTAAAATTTACTATTATGCCAGTAACCTTGAAGAAAAAAATTCAATAAGTGAAGAGTTGTATATACATAGTGTGAAGGGAGTGAGCAAGATCCTATAGGTGAAATGTGAAAAATATTGCAGAACCTATCATACTAAATAAATTTACTAAGGAGTATCCCGAATTCACTTGGGCTTTTCACTACAATTAATCTTGCATCTACCCACTGGCACTAGTCTTTTATTACTGACTGCATTTATAAATATAGAATAAACTACTGACATAGATAGCTTTTTAAATGTAGTAATGTGGTAGATTAAAAAATAAATAATGATTATTCAAAAATGCTTCAATGTAAGTTTATTTGAATAAAGAATTTTCTATTCTATTCTACTGCAGATAAATATTTGAAATTTTAATCATTTTTGCTTTTATATGAAAATTTTTAAATAATCATAATTTCTTAAAATTTTCCTAATGATGGGGGATAACTAATATCAGTAAAGCTTTAGTTAATAACAATTTGCTCATTAATTAATAACAATTTTAAGCTTACCTTGTTTTTCTGGAACAACATAGCAATACCACCAGTAAGACCTTTAACTGCATTTGCCTTATAATCCATCATGGCTTTAAAATCAAAACTGATGTCAGAGACATTGATGCCTCTATGTTTGAAGTCATGTTTCGCCATGTGATACAGGTGTGAGTTGTGAAGCAAAGCCTTTGATGGAATACAGCCTACATTTAGGCATGTTCCTCCAAGACTAGGATCTTTCTCTACAGACACCACCTGTACAAATTTAGTATTCAATTTTCTGACCATAGCAGTAAGTATTAGACTATGGGTTGGGGTGACTGTTAGAAAACTAGAAAATCACTTTTAAACTACAGACCAACACTGACAAAACTATGAGTATAACAGTAGCCTACCTTTATATATAAGGAAAAAGTGGTTAATACCTAATAAATTTAATTCTAATACTTACTAATACAATAAACATGAAACTTTGTAAGAAAAGAGGAATGTATGTTACTCTTATGTGCTAAAGCTACTGGACTAATTTTAATTATATTTAGCACATAAATAGTTACATTCTAGATTTACAGATAGGATACTTTTAACATAAATTGAAGTATGTAGCAATGTGATATAATGAATATTAGGAAAAATAGAACATACCTTCATGCCAAGTTGGGCAGCTTTGATGGCAGCTACATAGCCACCAGGTCCGGAACCAATTACCACTATGTCTGCATCATGGGTTGTTGCATAATGTCTGGTAGCAATTCGAAAGCCACTAACCTACAATAATAAATCATTAAATTGTTGAAATATTGTTCTATTATTAAAACATAAATTGGAGCAAATAGAATGTTATATAGCCACCTAAATACGACAATACATATTTCAGTACTTGAAATATGTATTGTCGTTGTAAAATGAAAACTAATTTGAAATAAAAAAATTAAGACTAAGGAATATACTATTGTACCTGCTTTTACTGTCTTAAAATAAATTATAAACTTCGTTACTAAACAAGTTTGATAGTTATAATTTTCACTAGTGTTTGAGAGTAAAAGCTTCTAATATCGTAAATTGTTGCTACATTTAATCAGATTTTTTTTTCTGATAAGCTATAACTTGACAATCGGTCACATGCTTGAAGGTCAATGGATACTATCATGCATGTTTGTAATTGTAAGCAACTAGATTTGTCTATGTAAATATCTAAAATGGGTATTTTAATATAAAACAAGAATTTTCAATAAGTATTGAAAATCGGAGCAAGTAGGCAAACTGGGGAAAGAGCCATTGCATAACAATTGACAGATTAGGACTGAATAACTTAAATACAAAAATATCTTTTTAAGTTGCTTACCCTTAGTGACGAGGAAGCGAGGTTTAGAAATTTATAACCCATTCCAAATTATGTTTTTCACTAATAATTAATAGATAAAAGGTAGATTCGGAGCCCTGGCTATCGGCTCAAACGAATGTCAAAAATGACAATTGTAATTGAGTGTTATCATTAACGAATGAATAAATATTACTAGTATATTTTCCTGTTCACTAAGGCTAATAAATCGAATAATTTATCTATATATGGAGTGTATTGTAATATATTCAAGTAAAAAATAAACAAGAAATTATATTCATGAACATAACATTGTCGAAACTACAGTGATCAATGTTTTATCAATTAATACTTCACATAAAAGTAATGATAAACTAAAAAGTACATTTGTCATCTGAATTGTGATAGCATTATATACAAGCTACATTAATTTAATTTTTAAAATTAGTTTTATAAGATTATTACAGAATCAAAATATAGTAGTAGAATATTGCAATATTTACTACATTTTTTCATATAACAACACACATGCGCGCGTTGCGAGAAGCGGAAGTTTTGTTTATCAATCAAATCAAGCCGATGACTTTGTTCGGTAGTGTCTCGTCGATTGTTGCCTTACGTAAATTGCTGTGAATAATATTTTGGATTATTCGTGTAAACCGATCTGTTCCGTGATATTTACTTTTACACGAAAAATACGGATTGTCAGGCCAGCTTTAACAGCTTTTTCATCGACAGTAAGTAAATCTAATTACTAATAATTTTATTTTTAGTAAATAAAAAATAGTAAATGAATACAGCGAAAATATTGTATAAATTGAAAATATATTAAAATCATTTTATTTTTGTTATATTACCAGTACACGTAGAGTTAGATTTTTAAATTATTTATTATCATTTATTTATCCATATAATAACTAATGAGCAAATTCTGAGCTTTTACTGTTATTCAAATATTTAAGTAATCATATATATTATATATAATGAGGATATTAATTAGCCACCTAGTAATTTTATTTATAATTAATTATATTGTCTTATACTTGTAGTTCATGCCCCCTTTTATTTTTATTATAAGTTGAAAGCGCAGTCTTCAAAATGATACTTTGCAATATTGGATATTTAATACAATTAAGATTTTGTTGAGAAACCCTTAACTTGTCGAAATTTAGTATACTGTGAACATGGGAGAAACTCAATTGATTACAAAAGGAATCATTGGATTGCTTCAAAAGACATCGTGTAACGGGCAGAGGCCTACAATATCTCGTTCTTTTAAAATCGGTTGACAATACTATTATGAGGTATATTAATATTTAATTTTAAATCGATAATAACAATAACAAATTGATTCGTAAACAATTAGGTAAGTAGGTACCTACATTATTACTTTATAAAACGGCGTTATATATTAGTCCTCAAATAAGCAGGTACTACAGGTCTACTGCTACGACAATTGCAGTCTCAAATAATATTTAAAGAATATAAGTGAGTTTTTTTATCGATGCAATAGATGTTGCACCTGCCTGCGCTAACGGTTTTCGCTGGCGGAGCACCAGAGGAGTATACTAAGACGAGCATGAGGTCAGGTCAGTTAGCCCATCATGACATATTCACCAGGAATTTCGATGATTTTAAGAGGGAACCGCGTGAAGGTCCAGCTTATATGGTATATTGATATACAATTAGGTTATTAATTCACATTACTAACAATTTCATTCCCCACAATCTAAGCGAGTTTATTACATCTTAACATCTCAGCATAATAGTCGTCAAATTTAGCATGTGCCTATATTTTAGCATTTAGTAGAGAAAGAACGACGCTACATTTTTAAAAATAAGGCCAATCGTGGTCATTGGAACGAAGTCGCGAAAATTAATAATCATTTTACGGATATCATAAATGTTAATGGCCTGCGGTAATTCTTTAGCAGCAGGTGCACCACAACCATAACCTACCACAAATATTTTACCTGTTTTTTCCATACATAGGTCAAACTCGTCGAGAGGTTGTCATTATATTTAATTCACGCATTAATCAAATTTCGTATTTTATTTACAAGTTTTACTTATTAAGATCGTTTGCTACCTAAGTCTTAACCGTGGCGATAGATACGATATGGTGCTGAAGTACATCTGCATTATCTGTATTTGTTTTTAAAACCAATTAAGCAATTTTCATTATTATTAAGTGACTTGACCGGTTTCGGCAGTTCTAGTGTATTATCATTTATTAGTTTTTTTTCTTGCAAACAAATTACAATTGACTTGCCAAGTACATAAATTTAATAAATGCCGGTAATCTGTGTAATATCGAAGCACACTACCTGCAATCAATTTCATTCGTAAATTGATTGCAAAAAGATAACTTTATTAAATGTATCCTTCATAAACGCCGGTAATTCCATGTTGTAAGTACAATCAATTACCGAGTGACAAGAAGATAAATTAATAAATGCCGGTAATCAGTACAGTAGGTACAAATGTTTTCTGCATTTACAACGTGATATCAAAATTATTTAATAAAATTGTAAAATACTATATCTACTATCACTATACATATTATATATAAGTGGTACCTAACGAGATTTCATTTTATTATGCAGCAATCCTACTAGAAAAGGGTTTCCGCAAATTTCCACAGGATCGGAAAATAGCAACTAATTAATACACTATTATTTCCTTTAATCATTGTTTTGCGATCGTAAAGGTCCCTACTCATTTTTTTGTAAGGGTATATTCCCATTATATATTGTTGTTTCCAAATTATCATGACACAGTTCGTATCCTAAACACAATTAATTTGGCAGCAAATTTATGCATAATGTTTTAAATGTTAAATTTTGTAAATCTGTGTTTATTTTTTACTCTGTTATGATTACGATTTTAATTCAATTTTATACTACGATGGGCCATAGTCTCATTCATTGACACAGTCATATATATAATGTATTTTATCATAATTCCAATGAATAAAGTCGTGATCAACAATTGTAAAACAATACGATATGTGATACCAATGGTTTTAATTCCAAATGTTTATCATTTAACGACTAAGCGGATTAACGAATCTGAATGAAAAACCTGAAGATAGACTGACGAGGATGGACTTGGGCTGTATTCTATATAAAAATGCAGGCGATGTCGCGGTTAAGAGATAGTTTTCAATAAAATGACGTTTCCACGATTCTCCATTACCTTACGTTTCTCACTTTGCTCGGCTTCGCTGATTGTGGAATTCAGTATTTACATACTTGTATATGTTACATATGTTAGTAACACATATCACTCAGGTCACGAAAATCTATCTATCTCTCATTATCATTAACAGCATCCAGCATTGTACGCTTGGAAAGGTTTGTTCCTTTCGATATTTAGTTTCCCAATCAGTATCAGGTTTGTTTAATTAGGATCTTATTAGTATTGGAACGGTTCACGTACTTTAGAACATTTATTACTTTTTGAAGTCTGTAAAGCAGCAACAAAGGTAAAATTATCAATGTATCTATTATAAATTTTAAAAATGTATCCCTGTTGAACATTAAAGGAATAAACAAATATTCTAATAATACTACTATGTACATTAAATTCATTAAAACTAATTATCAATTATAATAAATAAATAATATATTATAGATTATAATTCGGTTAAGGCGTCTTATGGTCTGCTGAGTGTTAGGTATTTCAGGCCTTAGGTATTCGATGGTACTCGTATTTTATCACGGCTTGTTGTCATTTGGCACACGTGCTAATAGAGCAGCTTAAACAAAACAACGCTTTCACGCCACGTGATTGTGACATCCGATCACTTTGACATACCTAGTACAACGAGCTACCAAGTCACCTGATACCCTTTTGCCGTGTTTTAGTCTGTCACTTGTTGACATAGTAATGTTCATTATTTACATCTGATCTAAGTAAGAATATAATGCAAGTAATATTGGCTTGTCATGAATGCTGCTGACTCAATTATTTGTTTGATCATTCTTGTTTGTTGCATTAGTAAAGAATGACGCCTTTGTAAAATAATCCAATACATATAACATCGTGATCATCATCATCTTTCAGACTTTTGCCCATCACTCATGTTGTTATAGTTAGGTACAATGTTTTAGCTTTGCTTTACTATTTCAATATAAATTCGGTCATTACAACAGCTACATCATAAACACTCATGTTATCTTTTACATGTACATTTTTCCTTGTAATATATCCGTACTGCGTCAACCTCACGTTCACTATTTTCTCACCTTATCAGTGCAGTGTCATTATGTTTTATTGTGTACGTACCTATGTAATAAAAAAGGAAAATATATTTGCGGATAAATAGGAACATAATTATAGGAAGTGATCAACCATAACAGTACTATACAAAAAATGCACACAAAAAAAGCATATTGAAATATATTAATATAGAGACACATTTCGTTAGATACAGTTGCGGCGCGACGCGCCGCTGTTTGTTGTCCCCGAAATATAATCTTTAGTATGTGTTGACTGCTTGACACAAAAAGAGGTTTTAATAATCTTCGTGCGTCTGTCGTTGGCTTTAAGTAACGTCATGGGTCAGGTAGAATAATGTGTTGTTCTCACGTCCGCATATAAATAAGAGTATGTACCAAGAGATAGGTTGGTGTGGTATGTGTTTGCCACCGCTGTTCACAAGGCCTATAATAGTAGGGTCTGCTCGTTTGGAGAATTGTTATTTGAAATTTTAAATCTAATAGATACTGTGCTAATAGTGATTTCTTGACATCCCACAACAAGTTATTATAGTTTTTATTTAGTATTACAGTTGTGATACCAATTTAAAACATAAGTAAGAAATAATATACATATATGTATTTTCTATTTTGTATGTTGTTGTAATTATATATGGAACTCTTATTATTTCACAAAATATATACTTTTTATTTGCATCGCTGATCGGTTTGCGAGGATATTAAATTTATTATTTAATCTACAATCTATAATAAAGCGACTGAAAGTGTACTTTTTGCATGTTTGTAGGTTTTTATTGGATATACCTACCTACTGTAAAAATACTCCACGGACTTTAAAAATTATTAACATATGGAAAGCTACGTTATCATTCAGCGAGTAATAGGCATTTAGCATATGTAGTTATAAAATAAATGTAGACCTATTTACTTTGAACAGACACACTTGCTAAAAATAGTAGGTATTAAACAGTTATTAGTTAAGACATATTTTCCCATTATTTTTACGCCAATGTCAGTTTAGCTATCGAATTATATTTTCCTTCTCTTTAGAGGTAAATAAAGTATATCACAAAACTTTGAATCACCAAAAATTTTGAATAGAGAAGGATTTAGGTTAGTTTAATGTCGAGTCCTAAAATATGTTCCGATTACACGAACGAAGTCGCGGCCATGTCTCGTAATCCTCTACAGCTTACAACATAGTTATGATTTGCATTTACAATATCTCACATTGTAACGACAAAGGTAACACAGAAACCACATTTTTTCGTATCGTTCGTACTATTGGCCTGAAAATCTTTGTTCTTATGTTTTGTGTTCACTTGAACACACTACTATAGATACATAGTTCACACGGTCCACGAATTTAATTAAAATTGCAATATTCAAACATGTCTTATTTAGTTACTTTTGCAGTTATTGCAAAATTAAAAAATTATATTCATAATCATAATTGATTCTGTTGTTCTTGGTATTTCCTATGAATACTATGTATATATTAAAAAAAGAAAATAATGACTATAAGTATTTCTATCAGTGGTTTAATACCCATAACACAAGCTCTGCTTAGGTTGGGACTAGCATGATAACAAATGTTATCAATTAACAAGGAATTAAAAATTGAATGTTCATAAGAAGTTTATAATGATCTCAGAAAATTATATTTAATGTTTAATTTAATAACGTTTAGAAAGACATTCTATAAATACTCATATATCATACATGAAGTATTTCCGTATTTATCTAGGCTATAGTTAATACTTCAGAAAGTATATATATTGATTAGTCAGACAACTTGAGCAACAAATTTGTTAAGTGGTAACTGTCAGCCGTCATATACAGAAGTTATGTCTTCATATGACGCCCGTATTATTTTTATTTCTAAAAGCTTTGCTATTCCTAAGATGTCTTCTGACTTATCCTTTCAACCGAAACACAGATAACATTAAGACGACTTTCTGCAAAGTGTAATTCGCTAAAAATAAGGTACATACCAATGTTTCGTATTTACATATATATACTTATTTTAAGTCGAAATTATTTGAGAAGGTATTTAATAGTCTTAACTTGTTGCTCCTCTTGGGAATAAAGAATCGAAGCCCATTATGCACGCGGGAATCCACAAAGGAGATCGCAGGATAAGTTTCTAACACCTTGGGTGGCGGCCATTTACTTTAAGCTATGCTATCTATAGGTTCTTTTATATCTAACTAGCTGCCGCGACTACGTCCTCGTGGAATTTAACATTATATTTCTAAAATAAAAGTAGCCTAAGCCTTATTACATCAACTACCTGCCAAAAAAAGTCCCGTCAAATTCGGTCCAGCAACTTCAGAGATTAGCCGGAACAGACAAACAGACGTCTGTCTGTTTGTCAAAATTTGTCAAAAAGTAGTAAAAAATGTTATTTTTGTGTATGTATCGTATTTATATTCATATAGTAAAAACGTTATTCCAATATTACAAACAGACACTCCAATTTCATTTATATGTACATATACATATATAAGTCAAACAAATTAAAAAATGTTTAAAAATAAGTTAATGATGTAATTTATAGTAAAGGTATTGATTATCTATATAAAAATATTTTTTTACAATTGATAAGATTTAGTATTGTCCAATATATGGGGATTTCTAATCCTGATCCCATGATTAGATAATATACTAAGAATTCATTAAACTAAACTGACAACCTTCTTAAAAATATTACAGAGTTCATTTTCTATACGTGTTTGTTAAATAAAATACAAGATAACAGAGTTCTGAAAACATTCTTTATTTTGTATTATAAAAATTAACAAAAAAGTAGCCCGACATAATGGGAACAATGTACACGAATATTAAACAGATGTACGAAGCATAGAATGCTTATTGATTTTGTGAATAGTTTACATTATACGCTCTCGTATTATTTGAACGAGGAAGTTACAGAAATATCTTGCGATTGTTCGATTGCTGGTACTGTTGGTGCCATGTGTGCATTACCGTGATATATTTATATCCAATCCAGATTAGAACAAAATTCCGGCACATGAAAATGCGACCTTATGTACCTACATCAACATTTTAAGGTTACATATTTAATAAATATATTCTGTAAATTAGACAACAATTACCTACTTAATTTTATACCATGCATTGAACGGACATTAACGGATGAACGAACTTCAGTAGCAATTAAGAAATAGGTAAAAAAAAAATTAAAGCTTAAATATTTTAAAAACTACTATAATAAACTTTTATAATAAAACGTAGTTCTCATTGATACATATCTTTATTTTATACATGTGTTGTCTTGGAAATCACAAACACTACATATATTACTATAAATAAAAATAAATCGTTGGATCCGTGTGTTTAATCTACTTGCAGTTTGTATTGAGTACATTTAGCATCGTTCATTTTAGTTATTCGTAGCGTCATTAATAATAGACTATTATTGATTGTAATTCAGGTATTATTTTTACTCATCAGACAATTGATTATGCTTGCGGGAATTCGAAAAAAATGGAAACAGCCCATAGCATTTTACTTTTCGAACATATTAACCGCAGATAGAATGACAGTAATTTTGAAAGAGGTAATAATTTTATTTATTTATGTAGTATAACCGTACATGTATGTATAACCTAACACAACTACTAAACTATTGGTTTTATTCTTTCAGATACTTACGGAATGCTTCAATTACAATATTAATATAGTCGCAACTGTGTGCGACTTATCAACCGTTAACTTGAAAGTGTTGAAAACACTTGGTGCTTCACCTGCAGAACCCTACTTCATACATGATCAAAGGGAAATAGTAACAGTGCTAGATCCACCTCATTTATTAAAATGCACTCGCAATCTCTTAATGAAGCATAATATTGAATGTATAACAGATTTAGAGTCACAAGATGCAAGTATTAAAGGTAAGTAATATATACGTATCAGTTTTTTTTAATACAGGTGTAACCTGTATAAAATAACAGTGTAGGTATAGAATTTTAAATATGACAAATATTTAGTAAATAATTTTAGATGTTAGACTTTGATTAATTTTCTTTTTGTTTTTAGGCATAGTCAAATGGAGTCACATTGATAAAATATATGGTATAAAATATTTTTAATTTGTTTATATGCAACTTTAAAGTATCATCAAAAAATGAAAGATTGCATTTTGTTATAAACGTCAAAATTAAAAATGATATGTCCTGTAACGGCCTGTTGTAGAACATATTATTCTTTATTTTGTCTGTTACGTCAAAAAGTACTAAAATTTATTCCAGTGTTATTTTACTGTATAAAATAGAATGATATAGAATTGAAAGCTTTTAGCATGCATAATAATTTTATTGAACTATTAATATATCTAAATAAATGTGTCATTTCTCATGTATTTACTCTTTTTTTTTATTTTTGCTAATTTTAATTGTGATTTGCTACAAATCTAACCCCACCGGCGGGAGGTCTCTGATGGATGGTAAACGTAGTGACGGGCAGAATGTTGATAAATATATCCCATCAAAAACATAAATGTGAAATGATAGCCGAGTTTAATATTATGATATATGCCTTGATTGTTGACTTCTACGACAAAAGAGATGAGATCTAAATGGGTGCCAAGTTCAATGGTCTGTCCTGAAATGTATTTATAACAATATAAAATATCATTTCTTCTTATAACTTAGGATAATATACTGTAGCCTAAGGTCTAACTTGGCCAGCTCTCATATACCAATTATTACTTTCGATTGCTAGTTACTATTAATATTAAAATTGGAACCGACAAGTAACATGTTTAGAACTTGCGAAGGCTACAGTATATTTCGTATATGAAAACTAGCCAAGTTAGACCTTAGGCTACAGTATATTATCCTAAGTTATAAGAAGAAATGATATTTTATATTGTTATAAATACATTTCAGGACAGACCATTGAACTTGGCACCCATTTAGATCTCATCTCTTTTGTCGTAGAAGTCAACAATCAAGGCATATATCATAATATTAAACTCGGCTATCATTTCACATTTATGTTTTTGATGGGATATCATTACTTTTTGTACATAAATTATACGAGGTACTTATTTATAACTAAATTAATACCAAATTATTTTTGATAAATTACTGTATTTTCGTATATTTACGGGGTATAATTGTCTTTTTTTTGTGTTATTTTCTATATTTTCTTGTAACTTTTAAATGTTCAAGTGCAATGCCAATTCAGTATCAGGAATTTTTGGGCAAATCCGGGCGGTATAACGTCCACAGATGGTTGTACTCTACAATAGAGCTCTCGTGACTTGGATCTAAATTGTTAAGACGTACTCCATCTAAGGTTTTAAGTCTGGAGAGTCCAACGTAAACCTGCCCTTTATTAAATATAGAGGAGGCTATGTTGAGAAGAGGACTGCCAAAACTAAGGCCTTGTGATTTGTGGATAGTAATAGCATATGTTAAGCAAATACGGAATTGTTCCCTGTCAACATATACATTATTTAATATCTGAAACTTGTTATTGACACGTTATAGTTCGTAAAGACGATTATGTAACAAATTGACTGTTATCTATTGAATTCTCAAGAAAACAATTTGTTACCAATAACTTCTCATTCTCGAGTTAACTGTACATTCCTACTTATAACTATACTAAAATTGTTATTAATTTTTGGTTTAAACTATTGTCTATACCATACGTATTTACTAAAATAATGTAATAATAATATAATCACAAATATATCAGTATAATTTAAGAAAGCTATAAATTTCGTAGCATAAATCGCAACCTTATAGGTTAGATATCCAGAAACAAAACATTGAGTTTTATCGCACCGCTCCCACACGGCGCCGCCGCTGCGCCCTATACCGAAATGCCTATTATTTAATAATTATTTATAAAAATAATGATTTTACACTATCGATGTGCGCTAAATATTGAAACAATAATTAATACCAAATCTCAGTTAATAACATAATAAATACGAAATTCGACTATACTCCTAGTTATAAGTACGAGTATATTTTAGACAGAATCTAAATTATAGCAACTAGTGTTTACCGCTCAATGCAATATTTGAAGTTTGCTAGTTATCGACACTGATGTGAAGGGGTCAACGTAAATTGGTGGCTATCGACGTTTTCATACAATATTACTTTCGGTCCAGTACAAGATGAGATTTTTCGCCAGGGATCAATGTCAATTGGTGGCTATCGACGTTTTCATAGAATTTTAGTATTCGTCCAGTATAAGTTGAAATAGAATCAATTAAAGTGAAAAATTGTAGTAAAATGATAACAATTTACCAGTTTCAGATTTTTTCCTTTATATTCACCTAATTACCTATCTGCATACCAAATTTGAACTTCCTAGGTCATCTGGAAGTGGGTTATAATTTTGATCTATAGTTGATCAGTGATAAAAATGACGATTTTTGGACATTAATATCTAAATAACCGTTTGAGATATGTTTATGAAATTTGGAATACATATTTATCTCGCAAGTCTCAATATATGAACCAAATTTGACAGGTTTGTGTGAAAGAGTTTTTGAGTTATGAGGGGGTCAAAAGTGGCTCCAAATGGTTCGTGTAAATATACACACGGTGCTGCAAGCCAGTTTACTTGAAACTCGGCTTGACACGCTGCCGCGTGTCTAGATTTCACCGAGCTATAATATTTTACATTCCGCGCTTACCACGTTTATCAACCATCGCAGACCACCGGATCCGTCTTGAGTCGGCAGTCAATAATGGCGGGATTTAAAAATAAACTTTGAATTTCCCGCCAAGGGGCCCAATTATTTACAATAATTTTTAAATATCCCGCCACGATAATTTTCAAATATCCCGCTATTTCGCTTTTCTTCAAAAAGTATTCAGTGCTAATCCGGTACGGCGCTAGTAGTATAAGTGCGTAAGGTCGTGGTTGCAATTTTTTAATACGGAGACGTCATTCTTCTCTTGAGTAGTATATTCTTTGGGACCGACCCTGGACCCTGGTATCGGACATGTTATGAATAATTGATTCTTTATAACTCTTACTGCGAAGATGGGACAATTTGGTGAACACTTGGATTTTTCCGGCCTATTTAAATTGGACGTTTTATTACATCTTGATATTGATACATATAGTTTCTACGAAGTGGGTTTAAACAAACACTTCGCATTTTTTGGTGGCGAAGACTTGGTATTAATGTACATTAATGCTCGAGGTGAACGGTTTCAGAATGATTATACTTGTGATTATCCTATTCATTCTATGTGTTTCGAACCCAGCGGTACATGGCTTTTATTATTAAGCGATCATAATGTATTGCTCATTCCTTTCTTGCCGATATTTGTACCAGAAAATACATTTGATTGCAAATGGTCGTTATCTGGTCTAAGTGTTTTCCCTTTCGATAGTAATCCAAAACCTTCATCAGTTGTTTGGTGGTTGACAAAGGAGTCTCAGAATATAATAATTGTTGGTTCGAAGGTAAGATTATGACTTAAGTTTACTAGATATAAAAAGTGTAAAGAAGAAAAAGTATGAATGTTTGTACAACACCATAAACTGTAAACAGTAAGGACATTAATGGCAATATAATGTGATAACCTCAGTTGTGTAATGTTTTAGCACAGCATCTTACTTTTGATGGTTGCAGGTTCAATTCCTCACACTATTCAGTCATTTGTATTCATGAGTGAGATTGATTCTGGGTGTTTTTTATATGTGGCTTATTCTCTGTAAAATACCACTGTGTAAACCATGTTTTCTTTTAAATAGTCAAGCTTTATTCACCCATACATATATCTTTGCTGGACTTTAAGGCCATCAGTAATAGATCTGGAGAGCCACAATGGACATTTGATATTGTAAATAGATCCCACAAGCCTAGCGCATGCTGAAGATAATTGAAGTAACTCTTAGTAGTAGTCTTAGTGTATGTCAGATATATTCAAAATACATTTGAATTACTAAAAGAAATGTTTACAAATATTTTTTTTTTTTGTGTAACTGCCACAACAGATAGGTTGATTTCAGCTGAGTGGGTTGTTTGTGGTTTGTTGAGATTTGAAGCAAAATTATTTAATATTCATAATAATTGCATAAGTATAAATTAACTTACAAATAATCAAATAACACTGTTCATATCTGGGTGTCAGGGCAGTTTATATGGGAAAATGATCTTATTTATATTACATAATAATATGTTTAGATACAAACATGTATTAAGTCAATATACATATGTTTAAAATAAATGTAATGAACTGCTATGCAAAATGATTTTGTACAAAAATCATGTACTTATTCCTATTTTCCTGACCAGTCTCACATTTATTGGACATCATTTAAGAATAAAATACTATATAATATATGGCTATTATATAATATAATATATGACTATTTATACAAATAATTAAATATATGTAAATTTAATAACCCCCTCTTATGTATCAATCAACAGGTGGTACTTTCCGTAGGAATAGTATGATATATATACATGTATGTATATACACAACATTTCTATGGGTAATTAAGAGTGACAGAGAATCTCCTATTTATTTTTAATATTGTATAAGAGTAGATACAAATTTGGAGTTGATTATCTTAATGTGTGCCATAAAATCTTTTTTTTTGCTTTTATATTATTAATTTATTTGTATTGTTTTTAACTTTTAGTCGGGAGCAATAAGATTTTATTCCTTGGAGTCCCAGGAAACCATTGCAGAATGCAAGGTGTCAAGTGAAATTATTGACTTGCAGATGTGTTTTGATGACTCATTAGATCTGTTAGCACTTTTGGTAAGCACTTTTAATTAGATTGTAGGGGGATTCTGATTGGATTTCACATAATCAAGATACCTATATAAGATCATACTACATTTAGAAGTTAGTAATACACAACAGACATGAAAACTATTGTTATACTGTATATTGTATAGTCTAATTATATTTACAAAATTAATTTTAATATTGATATTAAATAGTGTATGGGTAGTCATTAAATTTAAATTAGTACACGCTGATTTAGGTTTATGTATCATTACAGATATCTAATGGTAAATCTCAACAATGGAAGCTAGTGCTAGAACACAGATCATTTGGGTACAATTGGTTGCAAACACAAGCTCAAATAGACAAAGACAAGAAAGACAGTTTTATGTCTTTCATTAAACAGTTGTCTAAAGATAAAATAACATTTTTCATTCAAGGATCTAAAGGTATTTTTATAATTATTAAATTTAAAATTATGTATACATATAAATTTAAATAAACCAATTATGGGAATGTATGCAGATACATTCCCATAATTGGTTTATTTAAATGCTTTATTTATTTACAATTTTTTATTGTCATTGATTCATTGTATTTAGAGAAAATATATGTTGCGAAAAGTTTTACCCAAGACACCAACTATTTCTATAATCAATAAATATTATTCTCAAGAAGTTCAGCTATATAGTGTTGATTTAATTAATTATTTACAGGGCATGTATAAATGTTTAGAGAAGATATTTTTTTTTATTGTAAACTAGCTGTTCCCGCTACTACGTCCGCGTGGAATTTTATTTTATTTTTCGAAAATAAAAGATTTTTTCTAAATTAATAGTAGCCTATGTTATCTTATTACATCTTCTAAAAAAAAGTCTCGTCAAAATCGGTCCAGCCATTTCAGTGATTAGCCGGAACACATAGACAGACAGACAAAAATTGTAAAAAATGTTATTTTAGTGTATGTACCGTATTTATATTCATATGCATGTAGTAAAAAACGGTTATTTCAATATTACATATAAACACTCAAATTTTATTTATATGTATAGATATTGAATTAATTTTGATTGTAACTAAACTTTTGTTTGCTAAAGACACATTGATGGGCTGATTAACATTTTTAATTATCAGTAATTAATTTATAACATTTATATTTTCAGATGATAATAAGACACAAACAGTCGAACATGCTTTGAAACCTACTGAATATTTACCATTGTTTCGTAAAGACTCTAACAACTGGGCCCTCACAGCCCAATATGTGAATGGAAGACATTTCCTAACTGCATTTGAATTGAATGAAGGCACTTTAATAGTAAGTATTGCATGTTTGTTTTTTTTTATGGGGACTGTATATTATACCTAACTTCTGTTTTCTGTAGGCATTGATATAAGACTTCATAAGAAATGCTCAAACTGTTTTAACTTTTTTTATAGCTCGAAAGCTCTGAAGAACATACACCATCTAGAACTTATAGACCTCACGTAAAGAAAGATGGCTTATATATACAGGGCTTATGGTCTCAAAGACTCATTTATCTTCTGAAAAAAAATCAGTTGGAGATTCACAGTGCAAGCTATTCTGTAATTCAGGTACTAACCTTACTAAATAAATACTTTCTTTTAAAAATGATATATTTATATATTATATTCATAATCTATTACACAGGTTGATCCATTATCAGGTCCAAAGCGAGAATCCTCCTATATGTGTACTGTGGAGTTAATAGGCGATGTTCGTCGAGCTCATTTGATGTCTGCAAAAGAGCTGGTCACAGCGACGCCAGGTTGGCGCGAGCCGACCTTTTTGCGTGATTTAGAACTACCCCGGTTTGCCATCGAACCTTGCCTAATTATAACGAGTTGCGGTGCCTATGTATTTCACACTGTGTAAGTGGTAAATATATTCAGTAACATTGTAGTATCACACTATCCTTACGTGTGCTATCTGCTTGTTACCTTTTCATGGCTTAAATTACTAAACTCAACTTAATGAAATTTAGCATAAAGGTAGGCAATTTCTTATACTATGATGGTGTTAAATAAGTATACGACCCATCTGATGGTAAACGAGTACCAACTTCTTTTAAATCATTATTTAAAACTTTGTATCACGAGGACTGAAATAGGCTGCCTTTTGTTTGAATAAAAAAGACAGACAAGAAATGAGAAAAGGCTAGTAAAGATATATTCTTCGAATCTTTATACTGAGTTCATATATGCGATATTATACGAGATGCTTAGTCCGAGACACTCCATATATAATCACATGTAGTTTCGACAATCTTCGCATTGTGTCTTCGTGTTATTTAGAGAAACAACAACGTTTCCATTTAAAAAAATAACCAATCGCAGGAGCTGTCAACTTCCCAAATGTCATTCGCTTTTTTCACGCTGTGTCAAGTGTTCCGTCGCGTAAAAAATAATTATAATTTTAAAGTTTTTTGTTACTTTAAATCATTAAAATGTCAAATAGACGTAAATATAATAATGAGGACGATAGAATATATCGAAAAATACGAAAATTCGAACGAAACCCGTACAGAAGGAGACGTCAGAGATCAAGGACTGCGCCTACGACGTCACTGGATCCGCCGGTGGATATTGAGAATAACGATTGTGATATCAATATAGTGGACTAATTAGATAGAGGTAACAAACTAAAGGTATGATGTATCATACTTATTATTTTCAGCAAACATCGACGATATATATTTTACTTGTAACCTGTGGTACAGGTTACAATGCACTCTAGTCGAGTGCCATATATCTACATATACAAAGAGAAGTTCTCTTTTGACTAATGTTTAAACGAAATATGACCGGTGGTTGTATTTTTGTGGCCTCATTATGTGATGCTGGTAGTATTACATAAATATTATAATATTCCTAGCTAAGGAATATTTTCAATTGTTTTTCATCTACAAATGATGATATATGTTTCCCTTGTGACCTGTGGTACAGGTATCAACGCACCCCGGATGACTGACACCTACATATACAAGGAGAAGTTCTCTTTTGTCTTATATTTACACAAAATTTGACCGGTGGTCTTATTTTTTGTGATCTATATATATAATACTGGTAGTATTACATAAATATCATGTTCCTAGTTGAGGAATCAATTCATTTGTAGAAGTAAATAATATACCACAATTGCATGAAAGTATACTTTCAGCTTTTGGAAACAGTTTATACAGTGAGAATATGAAAAATCATACAATTATTAATATTTTATATTGTGATTCAAAGAAAGACATATAAGAAGAGATTATTAGAAGATATTTAATACCTACAAATGGTAAGCATTGCATTAATAGAGCATTTAGCTGCACTGGATTTATGAAAGTAGAAATATAAAGTCTCCTAACTAGCTGCATAAAATAAACAATATCACCCTGCTTAGTGATGTAATAAGACTACTAAGTGATTTACATTGAGAATACACAATCACCCATTGCAACAAATTGAGTTATGAGTAAAAAATGTAATAAGTCTCTTGAGAGTTCAGGATAGTTTCTTGCTCTGCAAAAGCTTTATTGAGAATATAAAGTCAATGTATGACATTAAGAAATCTGCTACTTTAATCTTGAAATACACCCATCATCATACATATTTAGATGAATAATATGTAGCAAAGTGCTCATAGACAGGTATCTAGAAACTACCAAGGCCCTCCTCATCAAGGTCTACATAGACAGACAAAAAGGAGGGGGGGAAGGCTGATATCAGTAGAGGACCTCAGTGAGACCTCAGCTGCATCGTTACAGACAAACGCTATTGCTCAACATAGAAGTCAACCACAAATGTAAATGTTTTTGCTGATCGACTTAGGGTTTTTTCTTCCTTGTTGGGAGAAAATAACTCAAAATAGAGTGGTGTTGTCATGGATTAGTGGGTTCTAAATTTTTTTTATCAAGACTTATATTGATCACTAATATCAAGAAATTCTGAGTTCTCACATAAAGAAGACTTAGCTAGGTCATGTCACATAATATATATTATATAATCCATAATAAAGGATTTTTAAAATTGAAAGTTGTCTCAGAATATTAACCTGAATAAGTACAGTACATATGAAAAATATTTTCAATACTGAGAACAAATGGGAATATTATAGATTGACCTTCCATTGTTACCTTACAATGCTGAATAAATTCATTTTTTCAGAATATTTTAAAATAGATTTTCTGGGGACATTATATAGTGTCAATAACTAAAAATAATGTGAGTACTTTTGGTTTAAAGAATGCCTATTTTTAATCCCCTTTGGCAAGTAAATTATATGAGTATAATTGTATGCCTTTTCAGTCTGTTTGCTGTTCCCTTTATTTTTAATAAGATATTAACAACAATTATTGCTCTTATCTGTAGTAAGAGATATAAATTTGACATTTATTAGACATCATTAGTATTGGTAATGCTTATGATGGCTGCTTACAAAATTGTAAAGCAACAAGGTTATTACTGGAATGTTTTAGGTCTGGAAGTAATAAAGAAAGAAAGAAAGAAAGAAGTTGGCTTGTGCCATACCAAATTGTCTAATATTTATGTTGTTAATACACCAATTGTGTATCATTATCAAATAATAAAAGGAAATCAAACATAGCATTTGTTAGAAAGTTTTTTAAAATTGAGTAAAACTTTAATTAAAGATTTTGTCAGGTCATTGGCATGTTTATAGTAAGCTACCCATGAATACTCTATGATTATGTTTACATGAAGGTGTTGGGACAGCACAAGTATTCAGTTTTGTATAAAAAATAATAATAATAATCATTTTAATAATATGATTATCATTAGTAGTGAGTGTAAGTATTATTTATTATGGTGGTATTTTTAATATGAACATTCTGAGAGTCTTATGGGTCAGTTAAGTTCATAGTATCTATATACTCTGATTATTCTAGTTCTGGTAGGGGAGCCAGTTGCAATGAGAAGAAAAACCATATTAACTATTTTTTTTTTGTTTTTAGCCACTCTTATGGTTTTATATTCCCTATAAGATTGAAATTCATATTAGATCACTGCATATCAATAATTCAAATAACAATATCTTATAGCAATAAGACAGAGGAATAAAAATTCTTGATCATAACATTTCTTAGACAAATTTTGCAGTATTGTGAAAAGTATGTATTTGGTTATTTGCTTCATATATCCAGGTGAAGGACAATGTAGAAGCAAATTAGGAATCGAGAATTCAGAGCATAGATTCTAAATGCGAGTTGTGTGATAAGGTTTTTTCAACAAATTGTTGATTTATTAGGAAGACCATTTATTAATTTTTTCAAATTAGAGACAGCACAACATGTTCTGATTATACTTACCGGCACAGAAGGTCCATGTGCAATAAATATTAATGAATTTACGATTAACTGGTTAGATTATGCATTGTTTTATGCATTTTCACCCTTTTCTTTGATTTTGAAAACTATTAACATAATTTAATATATATATGGACCTTTTCAACTCATTGACTGAGTTGGGAATATCACAAATCATAATAATCAAACTACATAAATATTACCTTTCAAGGACTCACATCCCTAACACACCAGATTTTCACATGGAGCTTGCATCTTGTCAGAGAAGGTTTTTAGAAAGAGGTTGATACCAGATGCAGTTTATTAAGTTTCTGATATAGTCTTTATCAGATAACACTATTAAGTAATAAACAGTTGACATACATTTTACATTATTGCAATGTATTTTCAGTATCAAGCCTTATAGATTGTTATGTAGTTAAGAATCTTTTGTTTGTGTCCTACATAAAGATATACAGAAATATAGGAATATTAAAATAGTGATTTTAATCCTTCAGTTATTTTGAAGTATGTTTAATTTATGACTAGTTTTTCAACAAGGAATTAGATTTAGGAAAACTAATAAAGAAATTAACAAGTGCCAGTGCTAACAAAATGAATGAATGTGCTTTTGCACAATATATTCAGATTTTATTATTAATTAGGATAAGTGGCATAAAGTTTCATGATAAGGGGTTAACTTTTTTATAACAAATTTATTGCAGACAAAGAAAAGGCCTAGCTAGTTGTTACTCAATTTTTTCACACTACAACGAAAATTTGTCCGGCTTTAACCTTAAGATGTTATAAATTATAGTTAAGACTTAAAATTCGAGGAATTTAAGAATTGATAATAAAATTTTTTATTGTTATGAAAAGCATCGTTACTATATTAGCAATGATACATTTAGTAGATGGATGAGACAAGGAATGTCAGCTAGTGGTGTGGAAATCTACCCTTCATTCCACATGTCATGTCTGTAGTTCCTTTACACTTAGATAATAACTCACGTTACTATTTTTAATAATGCAGGTGAATCTAATAGTCTAGTCTTCAGGGTCGAAGGTTTTTTGCAAATTATTATAACAGAACGTTGCAAGATTACAGCGACTGTATTTTTGATAAGGTTTTATGTAACCTGGAGTCTGATTAGGTGGATGCACTTTATGTCGCCTGTTTTGAGAGAATAATCGATAGAAATTGTTTATTGTTTATTGATTTCTATAGTGAACATAAGTTATGTTCGTATAATAAATTTTGAGTTTTTTATGGTTGAGATTGATTAGTAACACATTATGTTGACTCTTTAAAAAAAAAAAAATATATATATATTTTCGAATTTTCTAATAAATAAAATTATGGCTATATAATGAGCCTTGAGTTGTTTATTATCATAATTTTATAACGCATAGGTGTACTACAACTACCAACCTCTAAATATCTACATGTGATTATATATGGAGTGTCTCGGACTAAGCATCTCGTATAATTGTATAATTAAACGAACTTACCTTAAGTGAAGTTCTATGGAAATTATACGAGATGCTTAGTCCGAGACACTAAGCGCCCACCCTCCCTGAACAATTTTTTGATTGTTCTGCCCTTCTTCAGTTGGAAGTTGTAGGTACCTATATGCAATTAGAATTCACATGTTGCTCTAAAAAGAATGACATTTTTGAAGTTGACAGCTCCTGCGATTGGTTATTTTTTTAAATGGAAACATTGTTGTTTCTCTAAATAACACGAAGACACAATGCGAAGATTGTCGAAACTACATGTGATTATATATGGAGTGTCTCGGACTAAGCATCTCGTATAATTTCCATAGAACTTCACTTAAGGTAAGTTCGTTTAATTATACAATTATTCCTGCCTATATGAAATGACCATCAGATGAGCCGTATGCTTGATTATCTACGTGGTATAAAAAAAAATGCTAATCCCCAGGTCTGAGCCCTGCGAGTGGTTAGTGGGGTTGATAATACGTGGCGGTGAAGGAGCTGAGTTTTCAGCGGGGGCATTAGCTGCGCCTCTGCCGGCTGTTTTACGGGGTTCTGCCGACATGCTAATGTCGCGAGGCAACATCGCTACCGCACAGTATCTCTACTCGCTGTCGCAGGTTGGTCGCGTACTCTACTCTCATTTGTACATACAATGCATTTTTGTTCTTTTAGAACATTATTTTATAGTTTATGTCTAAATATGCAATATGAGGCTTAAGCCATAAATTACATTCCGCAATATTGATTATTGTTTTACTCCTTCTCTGTCCTTCGCACAGTACAAACGATTTTGCTTGACTTCTTCCCAATTTTTGCCATAGTTTGCAGATCCGTTCCTATTGGCTGTAGCGTGATGATATATAGTATCTGTAATCTTAGATAACTGGGCTATTCAATGCGAAAAGTATTCTCAAAATTCAAAAGTATGTATTCTTAAAATTAGTAGAATTGGACATTATCTCGATTATCCACACTCATAAACTATACCCCTTTTATAATATTATCGTATTGATTTCCGTAATAATTACGGTATGTATAGCATTGAACAACTGAAACATGCATTTACTGTAATGATATCAGCTATAAAAACTCGAATATTTATTAAGAATAACAAATAATATTACATTAATATAGTAAATGTCTTATATTTCAGAGCCAACTAGATGGATGGGTAGCTCGTTTGGGAGCTTTTGGAAGAATGAATGAATTGTCTACATATAGACACGTTAATAACATGGGTAGTCTAGGAAATGCAGCTATTACTATAAAATTATTAGCAGTTCTCCTAAAAATGGGAACTAATCCCGAAAGGAAATTTGACACGTGAGTTTTAGTCCTACCTTTTAAAGTTATTCCTGATAAAAGTAATATTCCAAATAAAAATAATTTAACATTATGATCTCAAGAACGATTGTATATAAAGAAATAAAATGGAGTGAATAGTATAGTAGTAGGTATACAAATAATCTTTATTCAAATAAACTCTATACAAGCACTTTTGAATAGTGATATTTTTTTTCTACCACTCATTTAGAACGCGGACTCATCACAAGAACTTTTAATTAAACCTATTGAATTATATTGTCCTTTTCTTTCAGGCTATTTTTTTTGTCTGTTCATGTTTACATTGTATGATTTGTAGAAATAGATTTGTTTTGTAGAATGTTTTGTTTATATTTGTTTTAAAATTCCAAATTAACTGTATAAAACATAGATAATGCTTAATAAATGTGAAACAGAAAAATGAATTATTATTTACAGGAATACAAAATACACCTCATTAAGTACTACAGAGTTGCTTGAATTATCTTCGGTAGCCGCAGGATTAGGCCTGTGGGATATACTTCCAATGTTCAGCATCCATTGTGGCTCTCCACATCTATTACTGGCAGCCATAAAGTCCCGCAAAGATATATGTAGAGGCGCACTCGGCTGTTTGATACGAGAGCCGTGCCTTGTACCTCTACTACTTGAAGAAAACGCTCAATGGCTCTTCGACTTTATTGTGGGAAAGTGTTATACGTTGGATACAACAATATTGAAGGTAACTAAGTATTAATAATTTTTGGTACTTTAAAACTTTAAAAATTAATAATGTTAATGCACATTATAAAATGAATCTTAAAATCGTACTGAATTTCGTCGTTACCACGGTTAGTGCAACCTAGTGGAAATATCGAGTTTTTTTATTTAATATAACTGTTACCTAGGTCTACGTCCGCGTACAACGTTAATTTTATTAAAATAAATAACATTTCTAAAATAATAGTAGCCTAAGTTACCCCTTATATCCTTATCTATCTGCAAGTGAAAGTCCTATCAAAATCAGAGATTAGCAAAAACTAATAGACTGACATTTTTAAATCTATTTTATTTGTGTACCCTTATTTTGTTTACTTTATTTACCTTCTAATTATTTACTGTTAAGACTGAATTAATTATATTCCTACTCTATATAATACTCATTTAAATATAGTGTATACATTGTAAAGTCGTCTGCTTACCGTGTATATAGATATACACGGTAAGACACACGGTGTGTTTCGGTTGAAGGATGATTAAGAAGTGAAATTGCAGGATAAGATAAATAACATCTATTTGTATAGACAAATAGATGTTATTTATCTTATCCTGCATTCTGATAGCAGAATGGTAACACATTAGTGGTATATCATGGTATGTCATGGGTGTTACATTATATCGTATCGTATCGTTATATTATATTATTTTATATATTATATTATTTTAGGAACTGTGCTTGTGGATGAATCCTTTACAAGATCAATTACGCCCCGTTATTCGTGATATGAAACAGGGTATAACATCAGTTTATGTAAGTACTAAGTTACTCATAATTAATGAACTTAATTGATTTACCATTATGTTGTTGACAGTTTAAGTAAGTTTTATTGTATATATTTCTTTTTTGTTATAGACTACAAGAATGTTAGATTTAATATCGACGTTTATGCACGTCGTGTGTGCTATCGAATCTCGTCACCCATGTCCTGATATACATTTAGAAGTAACACAAGCTCCTGAGACTTGGAAGAATCATTTTGCTCCTAAGAGATCTTTGAGTTGTGGTCTGGCACATTGGGCAGTGGCCGACGAAGGGAATGCGAGGATATTTATGGCTAATACTCCAGTCAATACAGAAATTATTGGAAGAGTCGTGGAGGTGGCATGTGGTAGACATCATACACTCATGCTCACTGAAAATGGGGTAAGTAGTTGTTTCTTATATATGTGTTAATATGTAAATGTGATTTCCTCTTACTCAAAAAATTGTAAGGGTTTACAATTTTTTGAGTAAGAGGAAATTAGTTTATATGCTTTTTAATAATATACGCATGTATTATCTGTGATCTATTTCTAGACCACCAAATATAGGTATTATTTCTATCAATTCTATCTCTATCAATCGGTACCCTACTGTGCTTAGTTTGGAACTAGATAACGTTGTACGGTAGGGAAAATATATAAAAAACTTGACGTTCAAAAGTGGCTAAAATGTCCTGCATTCATAAATTATTGTTGAATTTGAATTTGTGTGTAAAATTTTAGTTATAACCGTGTTCGCGTATAAGTATGGAGTATATGCTATTACAGGGTTACATTTTGGTTATGAGCACTATTTATAGAATGTGTTATGAATGTGCGGGCGTGTAGGTGTACGCTGCGGGCGACAACAGGTTCGGTCAGCTGGGCGTGGGCGCGGCGTGGGCGGGCGGCGCGGGGTGGGCGGCGCGCGCGGGCGGGCGGGCGCTGGCGGTGGTGCGGCGCTGGGCGGCGCCGCTGGTGGCGCTGGCCGCCGGCCACTACCACTCCGCCGCGCTCGACCGGGGCGGCCGCCTCTACACCTGGGGGTACGCATCTACAGAATCCACACACGTACCGGTACCCGACCGCCTCGATGGTCTAGCGGTTTACTTCCGATGGTCGCGGGTTTAGTTCCTGATCATACTCAAATACAAATGTAAAGTATTTGTATTTGAGTATGATTATTTGTAACGATCTGGGTGCGTTCTATATATATATATATTTTATATATGTTTTTTATGTATATATTTATATTAAATACATTGTTAACCTAATATGAATGTAGTAACTTAACAAATTTCTTTACTATTGACAGCACGAAGACACTGACAACAACAAAATATTTTTATATATTTAATTTTTAGAGTGTGAGATTATCTACTTCATGTATGCGATGTGCATGAGATTGTGGAAGCTAATATTATACAAATAAAGTCCAGGTATAAATTGCTTTAAATAAAAAAAAACCCACCAAGTTGGCAAAACAATTTTTAGAAGTGCATACAATCTCACTTGTTATAAGAGATATTTTGTATTTTATTAGATGGGGTATTCACGGTCAACTGGGTCTTGGAACTATAGACTGCCAATCGGAGCCACAGTTAGTCACAAAACTTCAGGGTAGAAAGGTAATTTGTAATACACAATTATGCTATTAATTTTTAACTTAAGAAATTGTATTTGACGAAAAGATAAAAGGATTATTGCCTTTCTTATTTGAGTTTCTTACTTCTTTATTGATTTTCTTACTAAATTATTGGTGAAATTTATTCATAAATTTAAGTTTATTGAAATACAGATTGTATTTAAATAATCTTAGATTTAAATACAATCTGTATTTCAATAAACTTAAATTTATGAACTTTTGAATAGTCACACTTTTTAAAAATCTACTACTTATTTGGAAAGCAGACGCGCAGTACAAGAGCGAGCAGAAAACTTTCCTGCTGCTATTTAAAACAAACGTATCTTCATAGTTATGTATTTATAATAAAATGTATCTTTTTACTTTGTGTAAATACAAAGTAATTAATTTGTCTACATTTACATGCACATTCTTTCCTATGTGATTGTCTGTTGGCGCGTGGAAGAGCGTACGTGTAAAGGCAGGTAATGTGTTTGTAGGTGTGCGCGGTGGGATGCGGCGCGTGCCACACTGTGGTGGTGACGGTGGGCGGCGAGGTGTGGGCGATGGGCGCGGGCGTGTTCGGTCAGCTGGGCGGCGGCGCGCGCCACAAGAGCTCGCTGCCCGTGCGCGTCGCACTGCCGCCCGCCGCCGGGCCCGCGCGCTCGCTCGCCGTCGGATACTTCCACAACGTACGCTACCGACACGTTATACTTTTACATAAGACTTTATTTTTTTAATTGATGTTGGAAACGAAGTGGTTTCGGACAGTGCAGTTTCAGAGGAGCTTCCTCCCGCGTACACTTAGATTTGGGAATGAACTCTTTGCTGAGGTTTTCTCATGAGACTGCAGCAGAGTTTGTTTCAAGAAGGGTATATTAAAGTTTCTTAAGGGTCGGTAACGTGCACGTGATACCCCTGGTCTCTCAGGCGTCTATAAGCTACGGTAACTATTTACCATCACACCATATGTTGACACCATCATAGAATAATTTAATACTGGCTGGTGAAAATTAATAACAAAAAACATAGAAAACAGTGCAGTTTTGAAATATAACTTCGCTATTTGCGTTTATAACGCACGCGTTTTTATGAGCTGCTTTATATATTGAAAACCGAGGAAATTAGATCCATTTTACGAGCATCTGTTTTGAAAATTTACTTATTTGATCCAGATATATTAGAAATACGTAATAACTCGTTGGTTGGGGACTCTATTGCTGAAAATTGCATTAAAGTTTGTTGCGTAATTTTAAAGATAAAAGCGAATACCCCGCTGTCTATTCGCTTGTGCTATGTAAATATTTCTGCTTTTATTGTAGTTGGTGTTAACAACGAAAGGAGAGGTGTGGTGTTGGGGCGCGAGTCCGCAGCAAGTCCGCGCGACGCATGCGCGTCAGTCTGCGGGCTTGGCGGCCGGACACTCCCCGCCCGCCGAGCCCGCGCCCCCCGTCATCCCCGTCCCCCCGTACGAGCCGCACTTGTTACCGCAACTCGTCGACACGCACAACGTACGCGGACAGGTCGTAAGGGTGAGTTTGCATGTCCTCACACTCCCCCCGAGAGGCACAATATAATAAAAAGTTTATTGTCCAAAAACAGTTACAAAAAGCACTTAACTAAGTTTGTATACCCTAATATAAATGTTCCATACCACAATTATTGAGCGAACTTCCTTTGATGATCATTCTTAAAGTTGCCGTTATTTTTATTTGATTGTGTAAATGTACTATGTTACTTGTAAAATTATACGAAAATCATTTTGTAGTTGGCAGCAGGCTGGCATCATTCATGCATAGTCGATAACTACGGCACTATATATTCTTGGGGCTTAAACTTCGATGGACAATTAGGTAAGCATAATTTATTAAGAATTAATCATTGTAAGATGCAAATTTGGTTTTTAGTTAGCATATACAAGTCAAGTGTTTACATTATTGATAAATATATACTATAAACGTTACTTTAATTTTTTTATATATTTAGTATGTTATTATTCATATATCTGTGTGTGTTTTTCTTCATTAATAACCTTCAACTGCCCTTTTATAAGTACCTTCATATTTCTTATATGAATGTACAAAATTATCACGACGTAAGGATTATCAGAGATTCTTTATTTTTTAATCTGTGTATTATATTATTTTTAAGGGAGTGGTGACAGAAAACAAGTAGTGATCCCTACAGAAATAAAAATCCGCTCAGAAACTGAGGCAACTGAAAAAACTGATATTGCCAAAACACCAGAAATTGAAAATCCGGATGTAATCACTCAAGTGTTAGTTGCTTGCGGTGGAGACTTCACAATATTTGTGGATGATGACGGAAAAATTTATGCATGTGGCAATGCTCACTTACAGGTTGGTACTCATCATTATTATTATGCTATACAATTTCTTCTCTTACCCAATATTATTTTCCTTTGCTATTGTTACACATTTGTATAGTGAAATGCTAATTAATATAATTTCTTTATTTCGGAAATTTAATTTTGTTTTATTAGTGGGCAAATAATGTTGTTTTTAAAGTGGCTTTTACTGTTTTAACATTGTACCAATTTAATTCGCTGTATTATATGCCTAGAATGTATATGCTTGGCTTCGCTTTAAATTATGCAATTGTATTTATTTAGACTTTATTGCATAAAGTAAAAGACTTATCTTGCTTTTGTTTCCGTCGCTATAGATACATAATATTTTTTATTTACGGCAAACCTTACCGTATGCTAACAAAGTTACTTGTAAATTTTAATTTATGCTATGCAAAAAGTTTGGAATTCATTTCTTGAGCAGACAATATTAGATATATCTGATTTCTCTTTGTTATTTGTAACAGAGTAACGGCGAGAGAGATAAAGAGACCAATCGCGTTTTTATGATGAAGACTACTAAACGTGTAATTAAAATACCAACAAACCGATTGAGCAATAAGTTCCTGTTTCAACCCATAGATAGATTAGATATCATGTTCCCCTTTGAACTGGAAGATAAGAAACGAGATAATATTGGTCCTCGAATGAATCCATTGAATTCCTTGGAGGACTTCGATAAAACATCATGGGCTGACGATCTTATTCTGTTACTAAAACCATGGATCAATCAAAACAGTTTATGCTCAAATTTAAATGTCTCAGCTAAATTGGCCTACTATAACCAACTGTATACGGATTGCCTTAAATTATTTTTTGATAATTTAAAATGTGCACCGCAAGAAAATCGAATTTATGTCACTCACACAGAACTAAAAGAAGGTGACATTTTAGATAAAGAGAGAAAATATCCACTGAAGGATGAACTTAAAATGGCCATTCTAAGTACAATGCTAAAACGTATTAAAGAAATTTCATTGACAATTCTCAATGAAAAAGAATGTCCAGAAATTGACCCCTCAACTTACATACATTTGCCTTGCTGCTGTAATGAACTTCTGTACCTTCCAAATGATGGAATATCGAAATGTAATCCAAATATACCTCAAGATGATATATCTCCTAAAGCGGCTGAGATTATTGATAAGTGTATCAGTTTATTTCCTGTTGATACAAATCTTTGGGAGGTTTGCTTCCGCCTTTCAAAAGATTTTTATATTCAAAATAATCTGTGTGTTGCGGAACTCGAAACAGTGTTGCGTAAGTATATGGAAACGAACCCAACAACTATGGCGGCAGCTGTAATGTTTTCAAAAGATAGCGTACAGTACAGCCAGATATTGACGCCTAAGTTCTATTTGAACATGTGCAACAAAGTATTGGATACATGGGGGTGAATATTATGTTAAGACATACTAAGGGTCGTTGCAAAGATGTATGGTTGGTTGTGTTGAAACACAGTAGGTATTGGTTACATTACGAATACCATGTATCAATGGATACAGTAACTGTACCTACAATATAAGAATTGATCAGACCTGAATAGACTGCCAGATATACTATCCGTTTAGTGGTGGAATAGGCAGAGAGAATGTATCAGTTAAGGGCAAAATGAAAATCAACAATTATTCATGTAATTAGGTTAGTTTTTCATGATCATATATTTACATAGGGTTCTAGACCAATAATCAATCTTGATCGCTGTTAAGAAATATTTTGTTATTTTACTATAATTGTTATACTCTTACTATAACTGTCCTGAATCTGTCTATTTGGCTATTATTAGAGCAAGACTGTATAACGTCGTTTGTATATTTCTTTTTGCAATTAGCAGGTTGTTTAACAAACTGTATAGGTAGATTTCCCTCATAAATGAGGAAGTGTTAAAATTACAGGGTACTTAGACATATATATTTATAGTGAATACCTAAGTCGGCAATTTCGTACCCGAAATATTCAGATAAACAATATAATTTGTAGCTTTTTGTTTGTAAACTGATTGAAATAAAACTAAACTAAATTTGAAGTGAAACTTGTTATCTTACCATAATACATTAGAGAAACCAGCACCTAAATCAGTTAAATCGTTTCTGAAATTTACGCGCATAAACGCTAGCAAACAATAACATTAAAGTCTTACAATTTACTTTTTGGGATTTATAACGTAAATGGGTTCTCTATTTAGTTTCCTTTGCTTATATTTATTTTTCATGATCAGACAGCGATCAATTACATATTTAATATATCTATAGAATATTGTACCAGGTACTCACCTGTCGATTAGTATTATTGGATTGTGCTATACCAAGTGTTTTTTTTTAGTCTAGTGCCATAATATGTCTGTCAGTTTTTCTGTAGACTTAATTAATAATATTTAACAAAACACATTCTTGCTGTATGCAAGAATGTGTTAAGCTTTTAGATCTGTATAAGTCTTTATATATATTATAATAACATATATGTATATCGTGAACTGAGATAATCTTTTGTACTCGGATTCCGATTCATTACGAACAAAGTACTTACTTTTTGGTTATTAATAAACGTAAAAAAATACACTTTTATTTGCGTGATTATAAAGTTCGGGTAATCTGTATAGAGTTGAATCTATTCTTTCTGAATTGTGAACCTTAAAAAATATTATAATTGTTATACTAAGTTTATTTAAGCAAAGATCATTTCTGTTGTATTATACTCTGAAGGTTAGTTATTTTTTTAATTTTATATCACTGTTACAGGACTATGTTGTGTTTATATCGATTTTTAGAATAAGTATTTATGGTCACAGCATATTTTTGTTTATATTATTCGCATTTGCATGTTAATATCTTGAGAGTTAGATTTTTAAAACGTATTTTAAGTAACGATGGATAAATAAGCAAACTTAGTAGGATATAAACCTTAAACCACCATATCTTTTGGGAACTACTGTTTTAACTATTTCGTTATTGTAAATTTACTCTAAACAGAGTTTCTTTTATTCTGTAAATGGACTTACACTGTAATTTCCTTATAAGATCAAAACAATTTGAAGAAAATAATTATAAAAAAATGACACTATTAGTAATATTTAATCGTAGTGATTACGAGACTTATTGGCATATATTTATTTATTTATAGATTCAGAATCCCCTGGCGTACGCGGACCAAAGGTTAAGAAACAACGCTCTATACAATAGTTTAGGCCAGTTTAACTTCTGGCCATGTTTGTCTGACCATTGTTTTTTTTCAGAAACAGCAGACTTTTCGATTAATGTAGATCTAAAAACTTGATACCTACAATCAATAAATTCATTATCCGATATTATATAAGACCGAATTGGGTATAACTGAATATATATTGCGAATTATGACCATGCCGTAATAATTGTTTTTTTTTGTTAATATATCTAGCCTCATTAGCATTATCAGAAGATTACTATGAACAACTGCTGCATATTACGCGTATTATAACAGTAAGTTTCAAATAAATGTAACACAAAGTACTTTTTCTATATTTTTTCAAGAAAAGTGACATCCGAAAAATATTTTTTCCAACGTTATTTGAAATAAAGATTAGTTTTATACATATGCAAGTATGTAATGTGATAGTAAAAGTTTTTCTCAAGTTGTATTTCTTTATCTAGTCGCTATTGTGAAGCTTTTTTGAATTGAATACTATACTTACTATACTAATTCAATAAGTGTTTTTCGTTTATACTAACAACTGTATTAATATGACTATTCTTAAGTCATTTATGCTCATATAATAAATAAAACCAAGTACGTAGTAGACAACTGTATTTTTGTAAACCTATTTACAAAAGAAAATAAATATATCCTTGTCCACAACATTTATATCAGGTAAATGTTATATCAAGGACGTTGTTCTCAACATAACGGAATGAAATTATATAGTACATAAAATAACATTTCAGAAATAAATATTTTAAAAACAAATATCACATAATCAGTTGTGTCTGATTACAATAAATAAAAAGATTTCGCATAGAACACATTCAAAATAAACTTTTAAGATGAGTGATTTACAAAAGGCGTAATACGACGACTTTAAATTACTTTAATATCCAAAACTGTTCAACTCAGATTCATACAAGATTCCTTAAGGCAGACCAACTTAATTAGAATACATTACTAACACGACTCGGATGTTGTGAGTTAACATTTATTATTTGTACAATTACATCTAAAATTAGAAGTTGATCGGTTTTCCAGCATACGCGGCCAAGTTTGCCTCGCGCAGGGCTTCAGCACATGTCTGATCGGTTTTCCAGCATACATTCAGGGCTTCAAATGTCTGAAAATAGTTAGGAACAATCAGAATACAGTTTTAGTGATGGCAATGACTTCGTGATTATTCGTCAAGGACGTAACGAGGTCGCAATAGTGTTCATTCGCGAACATTGTATTGTAAAAAAAGTAACACTAAATACTCCAAGGTCAAAGCCCAAAAGGTCCCAGAAGCAAATCAAATAAACAATAATACATTTACTCGTTTGACAGTTATAGTGTAATGAACAATGTTTACGAAAGATTCTATTTCCCCTTTCAGTCATATAAAGGAAACATTAATTATCCACCCTTTGTAACTTGTTTAATATTGTTTTATAAAATCTTGATCTATTGTTAAGTTTTTTTGTTAGATTAGATTACTAGATTTGTTGGATAGATTGGTATTACATTTTTCTTATACTTATGCAACTGTCCAAGTGAATACAAAGCTACGGGATATACTAACGGGATGTGCGTGGCATACTCTTGCTACATCTTCTGCAGCAGCCCCATATTCTTGGGCTAGTACAGCCTCGTTGACTAATTCGCCGGCGCCCTGCAAACACCAAACAAATGGGAAATAAGTTATCACTGTCGTGTAATTTCTCATAGTAAATAAACTAAAAATAATTTTCTTGCCTATAACCTCCTTAGTTTATATATGTATACCATAGCCAATATCTATTGCTTTTACTATACAGTCTCCAAAATGATTTATTTATGTAATTAGAATAGCAATATGTAAGGGTCCAACTGATTTAAAGTAGAAATTGTTGCGTACGTAAGTACACAAATAATAGTGCTATTATTTGTGTTGTTATTCCTAAGAATTAAGTTAGGCCTGCATACCTTCTTAATTTGAGGTACGGTTATTACCCCCAAATTACGATTAGGCCATGATGATCTCAATAACATAATTTCACATACATATTATTCATTGTAATAAAAATTAAATTTTGACAATAGTACTCACGGGTCCAATAATGTGTGTTCCTAAAATGACGTCTGTAGACTTGTCGGATAACACTTTTACAAAACCATCTGTTTCCCCATTGGTCTTTGCTCTCGAGTTTGCTAGGAATGGAAATTTGCCTACTTTGTATGCTTTACCCTGAAAAACAAGAAGTCATAATAAATATTACAGAAATTAAAACTTGTGTATTAAGTTTTTGTTTATTAGTTTATTATGTATTAAGTATATTATTGATAATTATATAACTTGCCTCCTTCTTTAGATCCTCCTCACTTTTTCCGACCCAGCCGACTTCAGGTGATGTGTAAATCACAGATGGAATAGCATCATAGTTGAAATGAACTGGCAAGCCCTGTACAGAAAACAAATGAGTAAATATATGTTTTCAAAATATTTAGTCTATTGTAAAATAAAACACCAAATAATTTACCTTGATACCCTCAACACAGACAATGCCTTCATCTTCAGCCTTATGGGCCAACATGGGACCATGTATTACATCGCCAATTGCATATATTCTGAAAATATAACATATGATAAAAAAACACATTCACTCAACAATACATAAATTTAAGATAAAAATAAATAAATAATTCAAAAAGTTGGTTCAAATAGCATCACAAAATGTAACATAACTTACATAAGCATATAAAAGAATTACATAAATTCTATTTCTCTACTAAGGTTATAAAGGCAAATGTTTATTTAATTTTACGTAAATGAAATTTGGTACACAGATCCAAATTTAGGTCACCAAAGAGTACAATATGTGAACCCATGGGGGAGTGCCATTTAAAACACTTTATTTTAAAGTCGGCTATTAAAATGAATGACAGAATATTTACCCAGGTACGGTAGTCTGGAACTTGTTATTGACAGGTACGCGGCCGCGATCATCCAGAGCGATGCCAACTTTATCCAGACCGAGATCTTTAGTGTATGGACGGCGTCCAATAGAAATGAGAACCACATCGCATTCCAGCTGGAAATATATAAATATATATGTTTAATTGTTTTGATTAATTTGCGGCTATTGACAAGGAATACACAAACAAAAAATGCATAGTTAGTCAAAAATAACTATACTTTGCATAATAACCACTGATCTAATAAGATTAATAAATAAGCATTATAATTGAATGAGTGGTACAAATTGAAAGGTCTGCCTTTGAAAACTTAGCAGACAATATAAATATTAACTTACCGTTTCCTTACTGCCGCCCTTTGCTGCCTCTACGTCAACTTTGACAGTGCTTCCCTCTTTCTTGACACCCAACACTTTAGTACCCAGTTTGAATTTCATGCCTTGTTTAGTAAGAATTTTTTGCAGTGTCTTTCCTACTTCGCCGTCGATACCCACACCTGAGAAATTAAAGGCAAAAGGCAAGGTGTATAAAACAGCAGTTAGACTAGTTCTACTATACGGTAGTGAAACGTGGGCTACTAAGCAAGTACATGAGCAAAAATTACACACTACTGAAATGCTGGACTTACGCTTAGAGATAAAGTCCCAAAACGAGCATGTTCATGCAGCTTCAGAGTGATACCTATTACCGAAGAAGCTTAAAGAATGTAGACTAAGGTGGTATGGATATATTCAGCATAAACCTGAAAACCACATTGTGAGAAAGTCCCTTTCCATGGCTACAACAAAAAGAGGATGAGGCAGGCCAACAATTACCTGGTTGACTAATATCCATAGGAACATGAAGGAGCTGGGCCTGTCAAAAGATGATGCTTACCAGCGAAATGTATGGCGCCCCAGGATTAGAAAAGCCGACCGACCGAACGGGAAGAGGCGAGGATGAAGAAGAAAGTATATAGACTGTTGATTTTATTATTATATTCATAAAATATACATAATAAAATTATTATTCATTCATTATGAGTCCATGTAAATTTTGTATCTGGGGAGGGGGCGGGTACTTGGCCTTTTCTAAACATTGTTACAATACATTCTTAACTGACTTGCTTACTTCCCCAACACAGCAGCAGGCCTGAAGCAAACCTGACCTCACTTGCCTCCAGCTTCCCCTGGGTCTGAAGCTGGTAAAGCTCATGCCTAATAATATGGTAAATGTGGTAGTTTGTACAACTATTTGCTAACTAAAGGTACTTCGCCTACTATGTACCAGCAACAAAACCAATAAACAATATAAAATCTTAATGAATGAAGTACCTTTATCTCATTGCTGATTCAGAAGAACTGATACAAATCAGTTATATGCTAGTCTTTGTTATCTAATCATTGACAGATTGACTATAGTGTCACGAAAATATAACTTATAAAGCATATATCTAGAAGTCTTTCTAAATACTGTTGCCATTTGTCGCCAATGTATAAATTATGGATTTTTTAAATAATTTCTTGTATAATAAAAATTACCCATAGTATTTATTTAATACAAGAAACCATAGAGTGTGATGACAAATGGATATCAGAAAAGAGTATCTATTAAAATTAGGATGGTGGCAAGTCCTTAATGTAACAAAATCAAATTTTACACTTTGAACCAAAACACAACAATACATGCCTTATGAAGTAATAAATAGCTAAGATTGTTGTGTATGGAGACATCATCCCGAGTTCCTTATAATGTAAATTAAATATATATAATTATATTTTGTATATAGAAACTCTAGTGGCATTTTAAAATTTAACAATATAGAATATTAGCTTTATATCTAGTGAGTGTTCAAGTTATTTAAAACAGATCTATCAGGCTAGATTAAGGAAATTTGCAATACTAACCACCGATGGAAGTCAAGAATTCAATAGCAGTAACATCAGCACCAAGCCTCTGGTAAACCGAACCCAGCTCCAGACCAATAACACCAGCTCCAATAACAAGCATTTTCTTTGGAACTGCTGATAATGAAAGTGCTCCAGTGGATGTAATAATCTGCTCCTCATCGAACTGTAAATAATACAAGAAATATTTTTTATACTATCTTGGAATAAGTACACACTTGTTTTATTTTTAAAACTCATGTTTATTTTTGCACTAACGATTAATAAATTGGACTGTGCCTTTCAACATTGATTTACTAAAAATTAAGCATAATTCAAAAATGTTACCCTTTGTTTATAGTTTATGAAATGTGGAATATATGAGAAAATTAGTCTGATTTATCATTATTTTCTTTGAAAACTATACATCTACATAGAATCAATAAAATATATTCTGTCAACGAACCGTAACACCAGGGAAGGGTGTAACTTCAGAGCCAGTTGCAATAAGAATGTTCTTTGTGTTCACAGTCTCAACACCCTGTTCACCCTTGACTTCTACCTTGTTTGGGGCAACTATGGATCCTACTCCACGAACAAGGTTCACCTAAAATAAAATTATTACAAACCAATTTGACTACATGTCTTTAAAGATAAATGGCTACATGCAATGTTTCTTCGATTTCTTTGTGGATTGCTCATTTAATCTTATTAGACCTATTCAGTCTGTATACTTTATCACACTGTCTTATTCTTATTAACTACAGTTGTAGCAAATAGCAAGTGGCAGTGGTATAATAATAAATTGCTTTAAAATTTACTATTATGCCAGTAACCTTGAAGAAAAAAATTCAATAAGTGAAGAGTTGTATATACATAGTGTGAAGGGAGTGAGCAAGATCCTATAGGTGAAATGTGAAAAATATTGCAGAACCTATCATACTAAATAAATAAAATTACTAAGGAGTATCCCGAATTCACTTGGGCTTTTCACTACAATTAATCTTGCATCTACCCACTGGCACTAGTCTTTTATTACTGACTGCATTTATAAATATAGAATAAACTACTGACATAGATAGCTTTTTAAATGTAGTAATGTGGTAGATTAAAAAATAAATAATGGTTATTCAAAAATGTTTCAATGTAAGTTTATTTGAATAAAGAATTTTCTATTCTATTCTACTGCAGATAAATATTTGAAATTTTAATAATTTTTGCTTTTATATGAAAATGTTTAATAATCATAATTTCTTAAAATTTTCCTAATGATGGGGGATAACTAATATCAGTAAAGCTTTAGTTAATAACAATTTGCTCATTAATTAATAACAATTTTAAGCTTACCTTGTTTTTCTGGAACAACATAGCAATACCACCAGTAAGACCTTTAACTGCATTTGCCTTATAATCCATCATGGCTTTAAAATCAAAACTGATGTCAGAGACATTGATGCCTCTATGTTTGAAGTCATGTTTCGCCATGTGATACAGATGTGAGTTGTGAAGCAAAGCCTTTGATGGAATACAGCCTACATTTAGGCATGTTCCTCCAAGACTAGGATCTTTCTCTACAGACACCACCTGTACAAATTTAGTATTCAATTTTCTGACCATAGCAGTAAGTATTAGACTATGGGTTGGGGTGACTGTTAGAAAACTAGAAAATCACTTTTAAACTACAGACCAACTCTGACAAAACTATGAGTATAACAGTAGCCTACCTTTATATATAAGGAAAAAGTGGTTAATACATAATAAATTTAATTCTAATACTTACTAATACAATGAACATGAAACTTTGTAAGAAAAGAGGAATGTATGTTACTCTTTTGTGCTAAAGCTACTGGACTAATTTTAATTATATTTAGCACACAAATAGTTACATTCTAAATTAACAGATAGAATACTTTTAACATAAATTGAAGCATGTAGCAATGTGACATAATGAATATTAGGAAAAATAGAACATACCTTCATGCCAAGTTGGGCAGCTTTGATGGCAGCTACATAGCCACCAGGTCCGGAACCAATTACCACTATGTCTGCATCATGGGTCGTTGCATAATGTCTGGTAGCAGTTCGAAAGCCACTAACCTACAATAATAAATCATTAAATTGTCGAAATATTGTTCTACTATTAAAACATAAATTGGAGCAAATATAATGTTACATAGCCACCTAAATACGACAATATATATTTCAAGTAACTATAATGAAAAAAAAATAATTTGAAATAAAAAAATTAAGACTAAGGAATATACTATTTTTACCTGCTTTTACTGTCTTAAAATAAATTGTAAACTTCGTTACTAAACAACTTTGATAGTTATAATTTTCACTAGTGTTTCAGAGTAAAAGCTTCTAGTATCGTAAATTGTTGCTACATTCAATCTGATTTTTTTTTCTGATAAGCTATAACTTGACAATCGGTCACATGCTTGAAGGTCAATGGATAGTATCATGCATGTTTGTAATTGTAAGCAACTAGATTTAACTATGTAAATATCTAAAATGGGTATGTTAACATAAAACAAGAATTTTCAATATTGAAAATCGGAGCAAGTAGGCAAACTGGGGAAATAGTCATTGCATAACAATTGACAGATTAGGACTGAATAACTTAAATACAAAAATATCTTTTTAAGTTGCTTACCCTTAGTGACGAGGAAGCGAGGTTTAGAAATTTATAACCCATTCCAAATTATGTTTTTCACTAATAATTAACAGATAAAAGGTAGATTCGGAGCCCTGGCTATCGGCTCAAACGAATGTCAAAAATGACAATTGTAATTGAGTGTTATCATTAACGAATGAATAAATATTACTAGTTTATTTTCCTGTTCACTAAGGCTAATAAATTGAATAATTTATCTATATATGGAGTGTATTGTAATATATTCAAGTAAATAATAAACAAGAACTCATATTCATGAACATAACATTGTCGAAACTACAGTGATCAATGTTCTATCAATTAATACTTCATATAAAAGTAATGATAAACTAAAAAGTACATTTGTCATCTGAATTGTGATAGCGTTATATACTATATTAATTTAATATAGCTATATTAATTTAATTTTTAAAATTAGTTTTATAAGATTCTTACAGAATCAAATATAGTAGTAGAATATTGCAATATTTACTACATTTTTTCATATAACAACACACATGCGCGCGTTGCGAGAAGCGGAAGTTTTGTTTATCAATCAAATCAAGCCGATGACTTTGTTCGGTAGTGTCTCGTCGATCGTTGCCTTACGTAAATTGCTGTGAATAATATTTTGGATTATTCGTGTAAACCGATCTGTTCCGTGATATTTACTTTTACACGAAAAATACGGATTGTCAGGCCAGCTTTAACAGCTTTTTCATCGACAGTAAGTAAATCTAATTATTAATAATTTTATTTTTAGTAAATAAAAAATAGTAAATGAATACAGCGAAAATATTGTATAAATTGAAAATATATTAAAATCATTTTATTTTTGTTATATTACCAGTACACGTAGAGTTAGATTTTTAAATTATTTATTATCATTTATTTATCCATATAATAACTAATGAGCAAATTCTGGGCTTTTACTGTTATTCAAATATTTAAGTAATCATATATATTATATATAATGAGGATATTAATTAGCCACCTAGTAATTTTATTTATAATTAATTATATTGTCTTATACTTGTAGTTCATGCCCCCTTTTATTTTTATTATAAGTTGAAAGCGCAGTCTTCAAAATGATACTTTGCAATATTGGATATTTAATACAATTAAGATTTTGTTGAGAAACCCTTAACTTGTCGAAATTTAGTATACTGTGAACATGGGAGAAACTCAATTGATTACAAAAGGAATCATTGGATTGCTTCAAAAGACATCGTGTAACGGGCAGAGGCCTACAATATCTCGTTCTTTTAAAATCGGTTGACAATACTATTATGAGGTATATTAATATTTAATTTTAAATCGATAATAACAATAACAAATTGATTCAAAAACAATTAGGTAAGCAGGTACCTACATTATTACTTTATAAAACGGCGTTATATATTAGTCCTCAAATAAGCAGGTACTACAGGTCTACTGCTACGACAATTGCAGTCTCAAATAATATTTAAAGAATATAAGTGAGTTTTTTTTATCGATGCAATGGATGTTGCACCTGCCTGCGCTAACGGTTTTCGCTGGCAGAGCACCAGAGGAGTATACTAAGATGAGCATGAGGTCAGGTCAGTTAGCCCATCATGACATATTCACCAGGAATTTCGGTGATTTTAAAAGGGAACCGCGTGAAGGTCCACCTGACCTGGTATATTGATTTACAATCAGGTTATTAATTCACATTACTAACAATTTCCTTCCCCGCAATCTAAGCGAGTTTATTACGTCTTAACATTTCTGCATAACACGTCGTCAAATTTAGCATGTGCCTATATTTTAGCGAGACAGACAGAACGACGCTACATTTTTAAAAATAAGGTCAATCGTGGTCATTGGAATGAAGTCGCGAAAATTAATAATCATTCTACGGATATCATAAATGTTAATGGCCTGCGGTAATTCTTTAGCAGCAGGTGCACAACAACCATAACCTACCACAAATATTTTTACCTTTTTTTTCCATACATCAAACAAAACTCGTCGAGAGGTTGTCATTATATTTAATTCACGCATTAATCAAATTCCATATTTTATTTACAAGTTTTACTTATTAAGATCGTTTGCTACCGAAGTCTTAACCGTGGCGATAGGTACGATATGGTGCTGAAGTACATCTGCATTATCTGTATTGGTTTTTAAAACCAATTAAGCAATTTTCATTATTATTGACCGGTTTCGGCAGTTCTAGTATATTATCATTTATTAGTTTTTTTCTTGCAACTAAATTACAATTGACTTGCCAAGAACATAAATTTAATAAATGCCGGTAATCTGTGTAATATCGAAGTACACTACCTGCAATCAATTTCATTCGTAAATTGATTGCAAAAAGATAACTTTATTAAATGTATCTTTCATAAACGCCGGTAATTCCATGTTGTAAGTATTATCAATTACCGAGTGACAAGAAGATAAATTAATAAATGCCGGTAATCAGTACAGTAGGTACAAATGTTTTCTGCATTTACAACGTGATATCAAAATGATTCAATAAAACTGTAAAATACTATATCTACTATCACTATACATATTGTATACAAGTGGTACCTAACGAGATTTCATTTTATTATGCAGCAATCCACTAGAAAAGGATTTCCGGAAATTTCCACAGGAACGGAAAATAGCAACTAATTAATACACCATTATTTACTTTAATCATTGTTTTGCGATCGTAAAGGTCCCTACTCATTTTTTTGTAAGGGTATATTCCCATTATATATTGTTGTTTCCAAATTGTCATGATACAGTTCGTATCCTAAACACAATTAATTTGGCAGCAAATTTATGTATATGCATAATGCTTTAAATGTTAAATTTTGTAAATCTGTGTTTATTTTTTACTCTGTTATGATTACGATTTTAATTCAATTTTATACTACGATGGGCCATAGTCTCATTGAGATCTCAATGAGATGTATTTTATCATAATTCCAATGAATAAAGTCGTGATCAACAATTGTAAAACAATACGATATGACGATACCAATGGTTTTAATTCCAAATGTTTATCATTTAACGACTAAGCGGATTAACGAATCTGAATGAAAAACCTGAAGATAGACTGACGAGGATGAACTTGGGCTGTATTCTACATAAAAATGCAGGCGATGTCGCGGTTAAGAGATAGTTTTCAATAAAATGACGTTTCCACGGTTCTCCATTACCTTACGTTTCTCACTTTGCTCGGCTTCGCTGATTGTGGAATTCAGTATTTACATACTTGTATATGTTACATATGTTGGTAACACATATCACTCAGGTCACGAAAATCTATCTATCTCTCATTACCATTAACAGCATCCATACAGGTGTCTTCGACTTAGCTACCATTAAATCAAATATGGCATTGTATGCTCGGAAAGGTTTGTTCTTTTCGATATTTAGTTTCCCAATCAGTATAAGGTTTGTTTAATTAGGATCTTGTTAGTATTGGAACGGTTCACATACTTTAGAACATTCATTACTTTTTGAAGTCTGTAATGCAGCAGCAAAGGTAAAATTATCAATGTATCTATTATAAATTTTAAAAATCTATCCCTGTTGAACATTAAAGGAATAAACAAATATTCTAATAATACTACTATGTACATTAAATTCATTAAAACTAATTATCAATTATAATAAATAAATAATATATTATAGATTATAATTCGGTTAAGGCGTCTTATGGTCTGCTGAGTGTTAGGTATTTCAGTTTACCTGCGCAGTAGGACGAGCAAGTTAATCCTGTTAGGTGGCCGTGACACGTTGCCCGGTTTCTGTATTGAGGTATTCAGCAGTGACTGTGGCCGCTCGCTGTGCATCCGTCCCTGCGATGTGCGACTCAAGAACTCGTAAAACTGCACCTGCCATACTGGAAAAGCTCGCCATCTATGAAAACGGTATTCTAATCATACTCCACTGTCGCGATACTAGATATTCATCTCACGATTCCAAATTGGGATTACGATTTATGATTGAAAGTATCGTAACCTGATTCCCCTTATGCATACACAATTTCATTAGTACTTACAGAGTACCCATTAGCCTTAGGTATTCGATGGTACTCGTATTTTATCACGGCTTGTTGTCATTTGGCACACGTGCTAATAGAGCAGCTTAAACAAAACAACGCTTTCACGCCACGTGATTGTGACATCCGATCACTTTGACATACCTAGTACAACGAGCTACCAAGTCACCTGATACCCTTTTGCCGTGTTTTAGTCTGTCACTTGTTGACATAGTAATGTTCATTATTTACATCTGATCTAAGTAAGAATATAATGCAAGTAATATTGACTTGTCATGAATGCTGCTGACTCAATTATTTGTTTGATCATTCTTGTTTGTTGCATCGGTAAAGAATGACGCCTTTGTAAAATAATCCAATACATATAACATCGTGATCATCATCATCTTTCAGATTTTGCCCATCACTCATGTTGTTATAGTTAGGTACAATGTTTTAGCTTTGCTTTACTATTTCAATATAAATTCGGTCATTACAACAGCTACACCATAAACACTCATGTTATCTTTTACATGTACATTTTTCCTTGTAATATATCCGTACTGCGTCAACCTCACGTTCACTATTTTCTCACCTTATCAGTGCAGTGTCATTATGTTTTATTGTGTACGTACCTATGTAATAAAAAAGGAAAATATATTTGCGGATAAATAGGAACATAATTATAGGAAGTGATCAACCATAACAGTACTATACAAAAAATGCACACAAAAAAAGCATATTGAAATATATTAATATAGAGACACATTTCGCTAGATACAGTTGCGGCGTGACGCGCCGCTGTTTGTTGTCCCCGAAATATAATCTTTAGTATGTGTTGACTGCTTGACACAAAAAGAGGTTTTAATAATCTTCGTGCGTCTGTCGTTGGCTTTAAGTAACGTCATGGGTCAGGTAGAATAATGTGTTGTTCTCACGTCCGCATATAAATAAGAGTATGTACCAAGAGATAGGTTGGTGTGGTATGTGTTTGCCACCGCTGTTCACAAAGCCTAGTACAATAGTGGGGTCTGCTCGTTTGAAGAATTCTTACTTGAAATTTTAAATTTAATGGATACTGTGCTAAAAGTGATTTCTGGTTATCCTACATCAAGTTATTATAGTTTTTATTTAGTACTACAGTTGTGATACCAATTTAAAACATAAGTAAGAAATAATATATATATTTTATACTTTGTATGTTGTTGTAATTATAGACGAAACTCTTATTATTTTACAAAATATATATTTTTTATTTGCATCGCTGATCTTTTCGTTCGTTCTAAATATTGGGAGGATATTAAATTTATTATTTAATTTACAATCTATAATAAAGCGACTGAAAGTGTACCTTTTTGCGTGTTTGTAGGTTTTTATTGGATATACCTACTGTAAAAATACTGGACGGAATTTAAAAATTCTTTTACATATGGAAAGCTACGTTATCATTCAGCGAGTAATAGACATTTAGCATATCTAGTTATAAAATAAATGTAGACCTATTTACTTTGAACAGAGACACTTGCTAAAAATAGTAGATATTAAACAGTTGTTAGTTAAGACATAATATTTTTTCCATTATTTTTACGCCAATGTCTAGCCAGTTTAGCTATTGAATTATATTTTCCTTTTCTTTAGAGGTAAATAAAATATATAACAAAACTTTGAATCACCTATACTTTTGAATAGAGAAGGATTTAGGGTAGTTTAATGTCGAGTCCTAA